ACACACAGAGCATAATTCTCTTGTTGAATTTGTCCTTTCTACACTCGCACACAAGCACAAGCATTGTGGTCGACAATAAGGCACCCAGTAGTAGTAAAGCTCTAGTTAAATACAGATACCTGGAGGTTAGCTGGAGCTAAATATTTAAGCTAATAAATACAATGTCAATGTAAATGTTCATTGAGCTTTGGACAGCTGAAATACCTAACTCTTACTGAGTGTCCAACTGAACTAATTAATCACAGAAATTGCTATTGTTCCATAGCCAAAGTCACCGCAAAGCGCATTATATATTCGAAACTTTTGTAATTAGAACTTTGTTGCTTTGCTTGAGAAAATGCATAATAATACAACACTGAGCAGTCGTGTGTGTGCGTGAGAGAGAGAGAGAGAGAGAGAGAGCGAAAGTAGCCCGCGTTGCCAAGTTCCGGGTATCTCATAGTCAGGCACTGCCGCTAAAAGGATTTGGATTCTTGTTCATGTGACCAAGAATTTCTTTATAGATCGCTAAAATTAACCTACATGTGTTATAGATGTAAAAGGGACACAATAGAGAAATACAAATAGAATTTCAGATATGTTAAATAGCCATAGTTACAAAGCAATAAGGTCGCTTTTACAATGTTTACTTGAGAGGGTATACCAAGCACGGCACTTGAATGCGCAACATTCCAGCGTTGCTGTGTGTGCGTGTGTGAGTGCGTGTGTGTGCGTGTGCGTGCGTGTAAGGGTATGCTTCGGGTAGGGCAAGTGGGCGGCTTAGAGGCGTCGACACATGGTCCAAGATGCGGACGTCATTTGTGCAAACATAAAAGCATTGTAAACAAACAGAGACCAAGCTAAATATCTACACACACGATGTTAAGCGTGTGGTGTGTGAGTGTGTGTGTCGCACAGCAAAAAGTTAAACCGTTAAAATTGGTTTACGTGTGAGCTTGGGGACATAGAAATAACCTAGAGCGAACTTTGTGTGAGCAAACAGGATTCGCATGCGCTCGACAGAAAATATTGTTGTCATGTTTAGTATTTTGTAGTGCGGCTGCTGCTGTAGCAGTTGCTGTTGCTGTTGCTCTTATCAGCATCAGCGCTCTGCTATTTAGCTCGACTGTCTCTTTGCCAGTTTCCACTTTCATGGTCCACGGATTAGAGTCGAGTAAGCTTCCTGCTCCTGCAACATTTTCTGCTCAGAGTTATGCTTGAGAGTACTTGCATTAACTGCGCAGTTCTTAGGGAGTGCGCTCATCGATTCGAGCTGCTTTGATTTTTATCAACTACTTGTCATGTCCTTGACAGATTATGTATGTAAATCCGAGCACTTGCAGCTGCTGCTTTTAATTGCACTTAGCGAATGGCTGACACTGATAAATTCCTTGGTATTTGCTGCAATGATGCGATTGACATTGATGTTTCATATTGGCATTGCACACACACACATGCATGCACACATGCATGCACACATACATGCAAACAATCGAACTGATGGATATTCATATGTATAAGACATTCCCTTTTGTCTGTTAGCCTGCAGACTGTCGCCAATTTGCATATGTTAATACCAGCAGGACACACGCATATGTAGGTCTATTGACATTCGTATGTGTGTGTGTGTGTGTGTACGTACGTGGTAACGTGTGCATGCGTATTGGGGCCGTGTGCACTTGCATAAAATACGTTGCGGTCTGCATTGTCCATCAAGCACAATTTGCAATCGAGCAGTGTCCTTGATTTCCGCACGCGCCACTTATATATCGTATATATATATGCCTCTCTTTATTTGTATCTGTGTGTGCGTGTGGCTGTGTGTGTGCGATTGTGAGGTTGAGCATTTGAGTGCGGTCGTTATAGGCCATACTCTAATTGAGTTATATGGGGAGCGCTGCTTAATGCATTTGCCATTGACCATGGATACGAATGCGTACGAGTTTGAGTGCAGCCTGAAATGGTAAGTAACGCACACACAGCTATACCACTGAGCAACCGCACTCCCTCTGAGCTCACAGTATGCAAACTGCTCAACCGCAAATCCTCAACACGCGCTGAACAACTGGCCAGCTGGCTATCAAAAGGAGCTTTAACGGCAATTGTGTTGGGGCCTGCTTAGGGTGCCATTTCACCTGTTTTAATACAGCTGAATCCAGAATCCCCTCAAATGGCCAGGCCCACGCACACGCCCAGATCAATCAAGAGGTAACTGTTGGTATTTGTGGACGTTTCACTGGCTTTGTAGTTGTTGTCTTTGTTGCCTACTGGATCCGAGCTTCTCAATGTACCGAGTAAGCCCCATTGTTTGCACACAGTCAGAAGAAATTAAACCATTAAAGCAAATCGAGCTGTTTTTAAGCCTAGGAAAAGCGACCAAGTGGCACTTGTTGTTGGCCAAAACCAAAGTCATAAATATTAAATTTAGTCAACAGCTTTCCCAAGAGTGCCATCTGCCCCCTCCTGTTGCCCCACGCCATTCCACAGTCTAACATAGCCAATCTCCGCGGCGAATCAACCTAATTTACATATTTCGTCCACTCTCACTCGCACTCGCACTCTTTCTCTCCGTCCTCGCATCCGGTTCCTTTGACATGGACATGGCGATGTGCCTCAGCAGCTGGTCTCGAGCCAGGACGAAAAAAAACTAAATCTGCCCCTCAATTAAACTGTCATGTCAAAGCCAGAGTCCGTCAATGCCATCGCCCATTGCTGGTCGCCTCCAGCATTCGCATTGCCTTTGCAGTCAATCTTGGCTAATCTGAATCTTTAAGTTCTTGAATACACAAACAGCTGACCGAGCAGAATGTTATTCAATTCCTCGAAATTACGCTCAGAGTGAATAAACGCGTTTTAAAATAACAATTTCAAATTCTTCGAAACAGTTTTTATTAATTCCAATCAAACTCAATTCCAATTTAATCCAATTATTTACGCTTAAATGAAATTATATATTGCGTAAATTTAATTTTATACAATACTATTTATAGCTACGCAGCTCCTTTGTTGCTTAGGGAAACATGCGTTTCGCCCTCATTACTGTATTTTAATGCAAATTCGTTTAATGCTCGCTTTATTGCTATTTTTATAAATTAACTTATTACTGAACATGCAACGAAAATAGCTGAAAGCGATTGCCAGCCAACGCAACAACAATATATTTATATATATATATTGATATATCGAACGTAATACCCTCAATGCAAAATGGCAATTTTATGTAGCGCACTTTTCGGCGCGTGCTAAAACTACATTGATGCAAATGTTTATTGAGTTTACGTGATGTGTGCACTAAATGTAAATGATTTACTGATTGATCAATTAAATTGACAAATTGTTCAATGCGAAGTCGTCTCAATATTACATATGTTAATTCGTTTAAAGTTTGATAAATTTGATAAAATATTCAGCAAACAGTTGTTAGCTGTGAGCTGTACACAGTTTTAGATTCTTTCCTAATTGCTAAACATTTTTATATATGATAGATTTTTAGTTGCAAAATTGTTAATTGCATTCCTGAATAGCTTAATATTTAGTTGTGGCCTTTTTGCTCTTTCGAGGACTGCTCTAATTGAGAGCGTTTGCTTAGCGAGTCGTATTAAATTCCATATTTACTTTGATGGGCGGATGCATTGGAATGCATTTCAACCATCGGCAACCATGGTTTGTGTGCGAGTGGGCGTATAGCCTGTCTGTCTGCTGTTTGAATTCCAACTAAATACTAAATTGATATTATCCTCGTCGTCGTCGGCGGCGGCGTCATTGTCTGATGACGCAAACAAAGCGCTTAGCAACAGCTGATGTCATCTTCAAGTTGTCTTGGCGACGCCGCCAAATTAAATAAATGGAAAATTCGCCAGAGCCATTGATGAAAATTCTAACACACGCAAAACAACAAGTTGACGACTATATGTATACATCTATATATATATATATATGCATATATATATACATATATGTATGTGTTGTATGAGCCGCTATAAGCACCACTTGAGCAAGGCGCAAGCATGAAAAAATCCATGGGAAAACTATGAGATAATCATTGCATTATGCAAACCCACTTAGAATGCTTGAAGGTCGTCAACTTTTAATGACTTAAGCAGCATCCCATTGCGAAAGCTAAACGCATTTTCTTCGAAATAAATTGAATAGATTATTCCTCGGAATATTAGTGGCAGACGTTAGAGTAAAAGTAGACGTCTTAAAAGATTCCTTTCAATGGCTTTTCAGCTCCTCAATCTTTTAAGCGTAGCCTTGGGCTTAAGTGGGTAACGGTAACAAAAGTGTTTGATTCGTTAATGACGTACAAATTAAAGAATTAAATTTCAACTGCCCTATTAATAGTAATTAATGACCTTTTGAAAGCAAAACGTGCATTTCGAAATGCTCTTGTCTGGTTAATGTGGCTATGCACACGCTGACGTCTCTGACCGGCATGTCACTCATGACAATCCCATTGGTTGTTGTTACCGCATGCCCACACAGCCGCACACGCTCACACATACATGCGATTGCACAGCCGCAGCTAAAGCATGCCCACGCACACACATGCCCACACACACGCGTATATCGAAACGCAGACAGACAGACAGGGAGAGAGAGAGAGCGAGCAAGCGAGCGCGCAAGAGAGTAGGTGGCAGACAGCGAGAGCGTGAGGAAAGGCAAGATGATACAAATATAGAGAGTGAGAGGGACGTCCATAGTGTGATATCCTGTTGCTTGACCTATCTGAGGCGCCCATACACGTTGTCACAGCCATGGCCACATTGATAATTCCGTTTCCGCAGCTCGTTTGTCGTATTGGCTGCTTTTAGGCGCTCACTATGCCAGCAGAACGTGTTAGCTACGCTTTATGGCTTGCAGTTAGTTTTGTGGCTGACCATGCGGATTAGGAGTCGTGCAACATAAGGCACCCCGGAAGTAGCGGGGGTCACGAGACATTCGCCGGTGGCAAAACAGGCAAAACTTTTGCCACCAATTGTAAATTCAACTCATTCGTTTTATTCATATTTCGCTTGCAGATGAAAACCAAGCTAATGGGCAATCCAAGAACAGCAGCAACGCGAGCGGATGAGAGACATCGGTCACGTAGCGCCACCAGGTACCAAGATGCAGGAGCAAAGGTAACACCACCACCGGCACCAGCACCAGCACCAGCACCAGCATCTGGAACCGAACACAACGAGTGCCTGCTCACTAATTAACGCGTGCGGTGCGCGTAGCTGGGTAAATTAATGGAGCCACGAGCTAACCCCACACCACGCCACACCCAACCGCCTCATCTCCAACACTGCCTGCAATCAGCTCCGGCTACACGCCTCCAGCTGGAAAATTAAATTTAACCAAGTCTATTTTCTGAAAATAGAAGTACAGCACTTGGAAAATGTTTGGCCAACCGACACAGACAGTCGTCCTGTTAGTCGTCCTGGCTATTTAGAAACGCGAACAAGTTTGGGGGGGCACTACGAGTAATTGACCTTTTTAGAGAGGGACGAGGAGGGGGAGTTGGGACTCAGCACTCCTCCGTCTCTAAATAGACTTCGCACGTGTTTCCAAGGTGCCAACAAGGTGGGGTAGGCTGCTCTCAGGAACTAATTATTTGCCTGTTTCTCTGTCATTTTGCTGTATTGATGTGAGTTTGTCGCCAGCTATTTGTTATTTCTTGATTTCGCTACGTGTAAATAGTCATTATAATTATTATAGAAATTCCGTGTAACAATATCAAAAACAACAACAGCAAAAACAACTCTTAGCAACAAAATTACACAGTTTATTTTTTAAGAAATGAAATTTAATAAACAAAAATCTTTATTACGAAAATTAGTATTTGTGCATTAACTACATTTATAAAGAACAACAAAAACAAAAGCAAAAGTAAAAATATTAATTAGTAATTATTATAATGTGATGTTATACATATATAAAAACCAATATACATATATACATATACAGTTAGAAAAAAAGCAACTTAAAACAAAATGTTAACCAACAACAAATAAAAAAAAAAACAAATAGCAAAAACAATTTTATTAAGTAGATTTTTGAATTACAATTTAATACAAATATAAATAAAAGCAAAAAAAAACATTAAAAGAATGAAAATGCAAATAGAAAATGAATTAATTATAAACAATATAAAGTCAACTCGTCGAGAACCGTAACTAGAATTGTAAATTTTTCAAATTTAGCTTGCGATTAACAAAATGTAAATGTTGTGCGAAAATAGACAATTAGTTATAAATTAAAATTGAAATTGAAATTGACATTGACATTGAAATTATGCTAAATAATTAATATGAGAAAAAAAAAACAAACAAAACAACAAAATATATTATTAAACGTGAGCAAAATTTAGCGTCAAATTTGTCCTTAGAAATATTTGCAATTGTCTTTCATTTAGTTATTGTGTGTGTGTATATTCTCTAAGATCGGCTTGGAAGCCGCTCTTGGTATTGATGGATTGATTAATTGATTGATTGATTGATTGTCAGCTGTACAACTATAAGCTTTAACAGCCTTGTTCATAAACAATTTCCCAATGCACATTTTCTCTCCTCAACTAACTAACGACAACTTTTGTAAATTATAAATAAATATTAACAAATTATTTAATATATATATATATATATATATATATTTATATATGTATGTACTTATACTGTTAATGGCTATTACATATATACATATTTTAGTTTTCTACGTAAATCGCATTTCTTCCGCTATCACAAAACAAATAACAGAAAATATTTAAGCAAATTATGAAAGGGTAAACAAAAGAAGAGCAAACATATGTTCAGTTAACAAATAATATTAATGAAATTTGTATGAATTTGTTTTACAGCTCCTTTAGCCACGCTCAAAACTGTGGCGCGAGCCCAAGAAAGTAAACTCGATCTAAACATTAGTTTCTATTAGTTTCTCGTATTTATATTGTTAATATTATAAACGTTGCTTAGCATAAGTTTCAATATGCAATAAAAAACAAAAGAAAATATACATGAATATATTTTAGTTAATTTTATTGTTTTATTTATAGAACTTACGTTTCCCTCGCAAACTCGTTTTCTTTTTGGACCAGCGAATTATTTGTACAAAAGCAACAATCGAAAAATATTTAACATGAAAATAAAAAAGAAAAACGAAAAACTAAATGAAAAAAAAAACTAAAAACTAAAAAACAAACACAATTTAAGCGCAGAAGTTCAATTAATAAAAATTAGATTTTTAATATATTTAAATAGTTACATAATTTCGATATTTATATGCGTAAATATTTAAAAATAAATATACAAAAGAAAATGATCTAAATACAATTATATGATGTATTTAAAAGCATAGAAAGTGAGTTTCAAAAAACCAAAAACAAAAGAAAAGAAAAACAATTTCTTTCAGACTCGTAAAAAATTGTGTACTTTAAAATTGAATAAAATTCATAGAAAATTAAACAATAGAGTTAAAATGCAGAAAGCAAAAGAAACCGCTTGACGAGCAGATTGGTCGCAGTTAGCCTCCATGGCTGCCTGCTGGGCTGGTTGCAATTGTTGCAATTGCTGCATTGATTGAGAATGCGAGTTTTTTGATAGTGATCATGACGATGTGTTCGCCCCATACATGATGCGAGTACGCATTGGGAACAGTTACTCCAACAATAATTCCAGGCATATCGAAGCATTTCAAGCACACTCAGACAGCAATCAGTAATGAAGACAAGCAAGAGAAATGAGTAGGGAAATAAAAATTAAAATATAACAATATATAAATATATGCATATACAAATGAAATGAGACGAGAGCACGAGGGGATGCTGCTGCAATATAAGGAAAACTTAAATGAAAATCTTAGCACTTAATATGACATGAACACGTTTTTCTCGGGCGACACCTGATGGGAGTATTGTCAAAAGCCACGCCCACAGGGAGCAGACATACGCACACGCACACATGCATACGATATGATATGAAGAAGAGTAAGAGAGACGAAATCGCATATATATATATATATATATATATATATATATAGATAGATATATATATATATATATATATATATATATAGATAGATATATATATATATATATATATATATATATAGATATATATATATATATATATATATATATATATATATATATATATATATATATGCATGTCTATACATATGTATGTTTATTCAAAAGCAATAATACTGAGAAACATGACGAACAAAGTGGAACACAGTAAAAAAATATGAAAATACAAATAAAAATAAAAATAAAAATAAAAGAAAATAAACTTGAGCGTAAATGAATATTTATATATATTTTAATTAAAGTTGCATATACATATATACTATATATTATATATGTATAAATATATTTAGTCCAAATAAATTAATTAGCGAATCGAGCGTTGATGTAATTGCTATGCAAGTGTTTAATATTTACAAAATATTAAAATTAAATTCAAAAACAACAATAAAAAGAAGAAATGTGCAATTGAAATGCGTTTGGAACAATGCGCAGAAAAGAAACCAACAAGCGCCAGATATATATATATATATATATATATATATATATATATAAAGACATACATACATACACATAATATACAATCCTATATACATATATATAAATATATATATATATATATATAGCGTAAAGACTCAGTAAAAGCGAAAGAAAATCATGTAGTTTGCGTGCACACAGAGTAAAGTTTACAACAAATTAAACAACTTTAATATATACATATATATATAACAGACACACACACGCACATACAGACTTACACACACACACACAGGCAGACAGACTCACACAAACCTAAATATTAAATCAAAACTTAAAAAGAAACTTTAAACTGTACTTATTATAAACTATTATAACAACAAAAACAAAACAAAAAACGGTTCAACTCAATATTTTTGAGCAAATACTCGATAATTGTTAAAAATGTTTAAATATACTATAACACATAATACAGCAACAGCAACAGCAACCGCAACAAAACAATATAAATATATATATATAACAAAATGAACCGTGTAAACTTCATATTAACGAACATACTTACATCTATTATATTTTTTCCTCGTTAGACAATTTAGTTAATTATTGAAAGTAATAAAAAAAAAAAAACAAAAACTAAATAAAACAAATAAAAAAAAACGATTACATTTAAGTGTTAGTCTTATATACATACATAATTATATACAAAATGAAAACAAACAAAAAAAGGAGAAAAACGAGAAACGAGTCAAAAAACAAAAACAATTTCAAGTGCGATAACCGAACCCAAAAAACCAAAAACAAAAACAGCAAAAGAAAATTTTTAAATTAAGATTTCAATTGTTTCGTCTTTTGTGTTAAGCAACAACAAAAAATGAAATTTATTTTGTTTTATCATTTTGAACTTTTTGATTGGTCAGACATCAAAATGATTTACTAACATTGATTGAAAAATAAAAATTATTAAACAAAAAACAAACGACGAACATTGTTTTCAATTCTTCACACTTATTAGCTGGCTTTCAGGCTTTTATTTATCCTATATATATATATATGTATATGTGTATATATATATATATATATATATATATATATATATATATATATATATATATTTAACTATTTTGAACACATTTAATAATCCCATTTACCCATGCAGGAGGATAGCTTATCAGTATGGAATCGGACTGCCACTGATATGACAAGTACAACTCGTATCCGTGATACGTTACGCAGGATATTAAATATACCTCTAACAACTGCAATGGAGTATAAGATACACTGTGATAGCCTTAAATACGTTTCAATGTAAGTATGGAGAGCGGCAATTGCATTTCGATATTTTCAGCATCTCACGTCCTTTTCAACAATGAAGTAGCAGGCCCCACAGTCGCTTTCGTATACTGAATAATTCGTTGCATAATAGAAATATCAGACATATGAGGCATATCAGATCCTGGCACCGTTAATAATGATAGTGACAATGATGATGATGATGATGACTATGACGCGATGATGCAATGACAACTAATGGGCAAGAGTGGGCTGAGCAGGGCTGGGCTGGGCTGGGCTGGGCTGGGCTGGGCTGAGCAAGGGGCACTCAAATTTTGGCAACTTTGTTTATTTGTTGAGCTAATTATTTTGAAAATTGTTTTTTTCTTTTATTTTGCAGTAATAAAGGCGCATTGAAAAGCTGAAATTCAGTGAATAACTACAAACACAAAACAAAAACAATAAAGAAACAAACAGATGATTTAGTCACTAGCAAATGGAGCAACACACAACAACAACAACCGAAACACTAGCACACACACACATACTCAGACACAGAGAAGCACAAAAGAAACAATATAAGGACAGCAGCCTCTAATGATGATAATTATTACACATACGAGATGATGACGATGATGATGAGGATGAAGACGAAGCCGAAGACGAAGTACCATATAGACAAAGCCCTCTACCATTTTGTCCACTCCAACCCATTTCGAACATCAACACGTAGCAAGACCGTTTAATATTTAAGCGCTAATGATACAAATCTTTGTATTTTCATCAGTTTTTCAAAGTCTATTGTATATATGAAACGCAATGAACATTTTAGTTTGTATGTATAAAGTTTACATTAGCCATTCCCAATTAAGTTGAAACCGAAATCTAAATCTAAATCTAAATCCAAATTATAACCTGAACATTTAAAAAAGTCCAACAGAAATAATTTAACTTTTTTGTATATTTTGTATATGTAATATAGAATTACCATTGACCTACTCTAATCCCTAATTCTCCCCAACAACAAACAACAATAACAGCAACAATTGTGCTAGTACGAATAGTTACAGCTTGTTAAGCGGTAGCGCAGCCTTTTTCGAATTTAGCTTATTGCCAAGCTAAGATGAAGATGATAATAATGTAGATCATATAACCAGGTACAACAATCAGCAATCAGCACCATCAGCTAGGAATTACTATATTTATCTGTTTGATATGATTATTTTTAAATTATGATAACTGAATAATCAAATTGTTTGTTTTTGTTCATCAAGAAATACAAGTTTTTTACATGAAGAAAAGAAAAAACGAGAAAGTAAATATTGAAACGAAAAGAAAAACCCAGTTGTTTTATATACATATATGTGTTTATACTTACCTACAATAGTATGTGTGTATATATCGCATATGCCCAATCACCAGCATCACCTAAGCATCCAAACAATTCTCTCCACAGTCAGCATCAGATTTGCAACACAGTACAAGAAGTCTAATAAAGGAAACTACTAAAGTTGCAGAAATTATTTTCGAAATTAAATGACTATGAGCACGAGGACTTTATTTCAAGAGTTTATAATGGGTTAAGTTAAATACTTTAATGAGTTTGTAGCTGTATTAAATCCCAGGATAGATGGGATACAGCATGGACGTAAGATTCGAGTACTGACTGAGAAATTAAATCGTATAATCAAAATCATAAAATGGTTTATTACTTTTTGAACTGTAGTCTGAAGTTTCGATTATAAATAATATTTTATGCTTAACTCTAGTAAAAGTCGAAACGTCATTTGTCCTCATAGCAAGTCAAATCAATTATATAGACATTAGATATGAGACAATCGCCCTCCTGCAAAATAAGAAATGTTTATTCATAATTTGTATAGATTAAGCTAAATGATTGAGTTTGCATACCGCAGGTGTGATGCCGACTAGCGCATCAGCATGACCATAGAACTCCTCCTTTAGGGATATGACAATCGTCTGCAAATTTGTTGTGTGATCTCGAATATATGAAGCGACTTTGCCAATGTTTGTGTTATCCAAAGCGGCATCGATCTCGTCAAGTACAAAAAATGGCGCTGGATGATAGCTTTAAGAGTAAATGATATTTGTCAGTAATTTCTTTTTTCTTATATATTTATAGACCGCAGTTACCTGTGCGTAGAGAAGAGTAACGCAAGAGCAGCAATAGTCTTTTCTCCACCACTCAAATTACTCATTGGCTGGAAACGTTTACCGGGTGCTACACAATTGTAATTGATGCCATCGAGATACGGTTCTTCGGGATTATCGGGGCCAATGTATGCCTGGGCAGCCTCATTGCGAGCCAGCTTCTTGTAAATACCATCTATAGCATCGGATATATGCTGACAGCATTGCACGAATCGCGACGAGCGCTCATTCTTTACTTTCTCGAATGCCGCTTTGGCCTTTTTGGCTTTACGCCTGGCATTCTCGAACTCTTCATTTGTGGACTGTACTTTCTCTGTAACCAGATCTAGTTTTTGCATCGCTTTCATATTTGGTGTTTGTATGCGCTCCAGAATATCAAGTTTGCTTTGCAAATCTTTCTGCAGCTGTTCGTTGGTTTTCTTGAAGGCAGAGTCGTCTTTAAGCTTGCACAATTCGCGTGGAAGCGATCGATAGTCAACCTCAATGCTAGAGTAGGTTCAAATGTCAACATGTAAATCTACCAAATAAAGCATACTCACAGGTTATCGTGCATTGTTGACGTTGATGGTTCGAGGCTGTCTGCATCACTTTGTCGCACTGCATCATCAAGCGAGCCACGCAATAAAGGTACCACAATGCAGTCAGTCTGTCAAATAAAATATATAAATGCAAGCTGCAATTTGCTATTGTATGCCATCCTACGTACTTTGGCCTGCAGCAATATATTTTGTCTTTCATTTTTCTTGGCTTCGATTTTTGACTCCGTTGAAGACATTTGGCTGCCAACATTGTGAATTTCTTTGGCCAGGTTGGCAACATCTCTACGGGCTTTTGATATATCCTCTTCCATATCATCCACTGCTTGCTTCTTGGCTTGCTTCTCCTGCTTGAACTTCTCCATTTTCTCCTTCTCCTCATCCATTTCTTTTAAATACCGCGCCTCGGCCGCTTTAAGACCTTCCAGTGCATCTTCCTCATCTTGCACGCTGCGTTCCCAGCGCTCAACGTTTTCTATAAATAGTATTGGTGTGTTAAATATTGAATATTAAATACTATAATCCTTAAATTACTCCGTGTGTCCTTTTGTTTCTCAAAGTCCAGCTGAGTGTTAATCCCATCGATTTGCTGCTCGAACTCGGCACGTTTGCGCGCCCTCTCCTGTTGCATTACCAGCTCACGCTCTTCATATTGTCGAATATTCTTAACACCCAATCGACGACAGAAGTCGGCAAATACTTTGTCTTCCACATTATTCATGTTCTCTTTGATCTCCTGTATGTGCTCTTCACGATCTTGCATTCGACGCTCAATTTCGTTAATTTTAGGCTTTAAGTAGAATGAAAAGTATGAATACAGAAGTTTTAAAAAATGCTTTGATTTGGATTCCACTTACTCCACAATCATCCAACTGGCTTTGCACCTGCTTCAATTGGTTATCGTACTGGCTAATGGATTTTTTTGATGACTCTAAGTCCACCATGCTGTATTTCAGACGATTCTCGAGGCCCTTAATCTGCGATTCAACCGTTGCCAGCTCACTTTGCTTGCGCGACTTCTTAACCAATTCCTTGAGCTCCTCATTAAGGCGTTCCTTTTGCATTTTGAGTTGCGCCATGTGCTTTTCATCCCAGCGTTTCGCCTTGCGTGCCAAGTCATGGCTGCCACCAGAGATGAGACCGGACTTTTGATAGAATGTGCCATCTAGCGCAAGGGCATCAAATCGAGATCGATCAATTTCGTAGGCTACTTTCATAGCATCCTCTGGCGTTTCGCAGACCAGCGCATTGCCAGTGGCGAACAGAACAGCTCGTTCAATCTCTTGTGGCTCGAATTTAAGCACATCGAACACCAGTCGCACATTGCGCGGATCACTGATGTTGCGGAGACGTTCCTTTAAGGGTTTAACCTGCAGATAATCTAGTGGTAGAAAGGTCTCCACCTCAAGCATCTGCTCTTTTAAAATCTGTGAAAGACAAGACGGTTTAAAGAATAAATCAAACTAAGATATTGGCTTCCAACATACCTGAATGCAATGTCGCGCGGTTTTCTCTGTGTCCACAATTATCGCTTCCATAAACTTTCCCAACACCTTTGTGACGGCCACGTTGTAGCGTTTGTGTGTGGGCTGGCACATGTTAATCATGCGATCGTAAACACCGGGCACTTGTTTCTTAAATAGCTCAACTACTTCCTGTTTCTTTTTACGACGGGCATCCTCGTGCTTGTCACTCTTGGCATCGCCCAACTGATCTCGAACATTCTCAAGCTCACGTTGTTTCTCTGCAATTTTTTCCTTTGAACTGCCCACATCACGTCGCAGTTCATCCTTTATGCGATTCTGTTCTTCGAGCGCCGCTTGAGAGGATTTTATATGATCCATCAGCTTATCTCTGCGCTTCACTGCTTCTTCTCTCTGCAGTGAAAGCTTCTTGTACGATTCCTCCACAGACGCCCTGCGATTTGTTTCACCATCAAGAGTATCCTGCTCGGATTTTTGCTCCCGATTGATTGAATCCAGCTCGGAGCGATATTGTGTAGCAGTTGCTTCGGCCTCCTGTTTCAAGCGGTCATATTCTTGTACGAGACCCTCCTCCATGTTGACGCTTTTTCCACGTCTTTGGGACTCGTTTTCGATCTCATCCTCAAAACGCTTCTTTAATACCTCAACGTCGCTTAATTGCTTTTCCAACTTTTGTATATCTTGCTGATGTGCATTGTCCGCCTCACGCGCTGTTTCCAATGTCTTTTGCAGGGATATCAACTTCTTCTTGCAATGCGCCACCTTTTCCTTGGCTTTTATGTATAATGGACGTCGTTTGTTCAGCTGTGTTTCAAACTCGCGTATCTCCTGGTCAATCTTAGCTAAGTCTCGCGTTATTTTGCCAGCATCTTTTTTCTTTTCGCGCAGCACCTCATCAGCAGCTTCTTTACGGTGCTCCACGGCTTTCAACTCTTGCTGCTTTACCTCCAAGTCCGCGTTGTACTTCTGTACATCCTTTTCAACGTGAAATAAGCGAAACAATTGATATTCCACTTGCTTTTCGTTCTGCAATTTACACAAAGCGAATCTGGTTAATAATTGACTTAAACATAAAAACCTATAGCCTACATATTCATCTTGCAGACGTGTGTAACGTTCGGCCTCCATTTTCTCATGCTTGGCTTCCTTCCGCTCGGCAGCAATTCCCTTTTTTTTCTGGTACGTAAACTGTGTCTCCTCTTCAGCGACAATCATTTCCTGCTTGAGCCGATTGTAGTCATCCTTTAGCAAACCCGACCTATAAGAGTAAAAGTTTAAATTCCATGCTCAACCGATATACCTCGTGACTTACCCGCTAATTTCTTCGAAAAGAGCTGTTCGCTCCTTGGGCGTCTTCATGGCAATGTTTTCTACAGCGCCCTGGAACACTAAAAAGTTCTTTGCCTTCACATTGATGCCCAGTTTTTCTAGTTTATTTAGGTAAGTATTGCTTGAGACGCTCTAAATATGCAAACATTAATCTGTGTTTTCAAAACATTTCTGTACCGTATACCTCGCCATTTATTCGATACTCCGAGGATCCGCTTATTACGGCACGTTGAAAATCCATATGCTTCTCCCCGTCCAAAATAAATTTAGCCGTCACATAGCAGCTGCGCGCCACTGGCTTGCCAATGGATGAACCGTGTATTAAATCGTTCAGCCGCTTTACACGCAGGCTCGATGTTTTTTCACCCATAACAAAACTGATTGCGTCCATGAAGTTTGATTTACCAGAGCCATTGGGACCAATAACAGCATTAAATTGCTTTAAGGGACCAACTACAATGTGGCCACGGTAGGACTTAAAATTTTCCATTTCAATGAATTGAAGAAACGCAGTATCTTCTTCGGGCTTGCGTCTAACTGTAGCCAACACTCTGTGTCCAATTTCCTCATCTTCTTCAGCCATTGTTACAAATTATAAATGTATACCACACGAACAGTAAACAGAAAAAACAGTATTTTATAGTTTTTCCAAGATTTTCTTGCCCAAAGAAGCTTCTCTTTCAAATTGCCATTCACTGCGATTTGTTTATAGTGTTGCAAAATACCAACATAATACAACAATAATCGACAAATCATCGAAACTTATCGAAAACTATCGTTATCAATATATTATTCTGTATATATTCGTATCTGTAATCATTTGCCAATTTCATTTGTTGAGCTATGAAATATATATAAAATTTTTAATTTTTAAAAATATGGTATAATTTTTGGTGAAATAAAGTTTTATTGATAACAATATTTAACATTGCATAAATATATTTTATTTTAAACATACTTTGGTTGTGAGATCTTTGTCTACATAATACTTTAAATAAATAATAATTATTCGCATATATGCGGCTTATCAATTTAGTACTTTACTATATAATTTTAATCGACTTCCTCAATAGTAGGTCCACTGCGACCACCGCAGCCTTTGGCTTGTTGACCACAGTGAGACGCTTGTGGACCATCGCCGGCTCCAGCTGCAGCGCCTTGATGCAGTTTTGTCATAACGGGACTGCAGACTTTTGTGAGCTCTTGCAGCTTGTATTCATACTCGTCCTTCTCAGCAGTCGTATTAGCATCGAGCCACCTGATAGCTTCCGTACACTTGTCTAGGACACTACTGCGCTCTGACTGGGAAATCTTGTCTGCAGCCTTTTCGGCAGCCTCCTTCACGCCAAAGATGTAGCTTTCCAGCTGGTTGCGAGCAGCAATTCTTTGGCGATGCTTCTCGTCCTCTTCGGCATACTGCTCGGCCTCGTTCACCATGCGATCAATGTCGGCTTGCGAGAGACGACCCTTGTCGTTCTTGATGGTTATGTTCTTGGCATTGCCAGTTCCCATCTCCTTGGCAGTCACATTGAGTATGCCGTTGGCGTCCAAGTCGAAGGTGACCTCCACCTTTGGCACACCGCGTGGAGCTGGTGGAATGCCCGTCAGGTTGAAAGTGCCCAGCACGTTGTTGTCCTTTGTCATGGCTCGCTCGCCCTCGAACACCTGCACGGTCACGGCAGGCTGGTTGTCCGCGTATGTGGTGAAGGTCTTTGACTGCTTGCAAGGAATGCGGCTGTTGCGCTCAATCAATTTCGTCATTACTCCACCGGCTGTCTCTATGCCCAGCGAAAGGGGCGCAACGTCAACGAGCAGCACGTCCTTGATTTGGCTACTCTGGTCTCCACTAAGTATTGCAGCTTGAATGGCGGCACCGTAGGCAACCGCCTCGTCTGGATTGATGGACAGGTTGAGGCTCTTTCCTGAGAAGAAGTTCTGCAGCAGGCTCTGCACTTTGGGAATACGTGTTGAGCCGCCAACCAAAACGATGTCGTGAATCTGGCTTTTGTCCATCTTGGCATCGTTTAGGGCCTTCTCTACAGGCTGCAGTGTGCCGCGGAATAGGTCGGCGCACAGCTCCTCGAAGCGCGCTCGACTAACCTTAGTGTAGAAGTCATGGCCTTCGAACAAAGCATCGATCTCAATGGAGGCTTCGCTACTTGAGGACAAGGTGCGCTTTGCTCTCTCGGCTGCAGTCCGCAGACGACGAAGCGCTCGTGGATTAGAGCGCAGATCCTTCTTAAATTTGCGCTTGAACTCATCCGCCAAATGGTTGACTAGCCTGTTGTCAAAGTCCTCGCCGCCCAGATGAGTATCTCCAGCCGTTGCTCGTACTTCGAATAGAGAGCCTTCGTCGATGGTCAGGATCGACACATCGAAGGTACCGCCACCCAATAGATTCTTGTCCAGGCCATAGGCCAGAGCTGCTGCAGTAGGCTCATTTATGATGCGCAGCACGTTCAGACCGGCAATGGCCCCCGCATCTTTGGTTGCTTGACGCTGTGAATCGTTAAAGTAGGCGGGCACAGTGATGACGGCATCTCTGATGCTGGTGCCCAAGTAAGCTTCGGCTGTCTCCTTCATCTTTACCAGCACCATCGAGCTGATCTCCTCTGGTGCAAAGCACTTCTGCTCGCCTTTGAACTCGACGCTCATCTTAGGTTTGCCACAGTCGTTGACTACTTTGAATGGCCAGTGCTTGATGTCCTCCTGAATCTTCGAATCATCAAATTTACGTCCAATCAGACGCTTCGCATCGAAGACACTATTCCTTGGGTTCATGGCCACTTGGTTCTTGGCCGCGTCTCCAATCAACCTTTCCGAGTCGGTAAATGCCACATAGCTGGGGGTGGTGCGGTTTCCCTGATCATTGGCTATTATCTCCACCTTGCCGTGCTGGAACACACCAACACAGGAGTACGTGGTACCCAAGTCAATACCAATTGCTGGCATTCTGAATGCTTCTTTCTTCTCTATGTGATTGGCAAATTCTTATTTGGTTTGTATTGCAAAACGTTATATATTTTTATTTGTTGTTCTATTATTTTCACTTTCACTTTTGTTTAATATTTGTCAACTATTTTGCTTTGAAATTTATACGGTAGTTTTATGAATATACGTTAGCTTGTTCAGCTTCTCTTCGTTTCGCTTGTTGTGTTTTCACTACGATTGCTTGTTATGAACTGTAACGAGGTGGAAATTCGCACTGCTATTTATACCCAGATACTGAGTGGTGGAAATTTCTAGATCCCCTCGAAAGAGAGTAGATTGTTCGAGGCGATTCGAGAGTGTGATTCAAATACAATGTTCCCCTGCGCATGTGTATGTTTCAATTCCATATATATCTATGTTTAGGCGAAGGGGAATGACTGATTTTAACACTCACGTCGAACATATAAGGCCAAGCATTTGACGTTGAATAGACAGTCGAGTTTTTGTTTGAGCTTTGTCGGTTTACCCAAATTAAATTTGTTTTCATATATTGATCGATTATTATTATGTATTGCTTATATTCTTATATTGATATTTCTCATAGAAAGATTAAATTAAAGTACTTATATTTAGCATTTTGATACTCGCTTTGCTTTTAATGATCTCAAAATTAATTACATATGTTATTCTCTCATTTATCAGTTCGGTGGTTCAATTTTACTTGGCTCCTCTCACCTTCCATTGATGCCCGTTTTGAAATCTGTTGTCCGTTAGATTATAATTTCCAAACTGATGAATATCTCCATCGGCCGAGCAGTCGACCAAATGATTAACCGAACTCAAGCAAAAAACTTGATAGTAGACACTAACCAAGCACTGACTTTCAGAGAAATGTTTTTTCGGCAACAATAGGAGTTAAAATGCTAGCATGACAACTGTTAATTATTTGTAAAAATGTACTGAGTGCATCATATACTCTCTAGAACCGCCTCGACAATTCTGCACTCTTTTGAGGGGGATTTAGAAATTTCCACCACTCAGTGTCTGAGTATAAATAGCAGTGCGAATTTCCACCTCGTTACAGTTCATAACAAGCAATCGTAGTGAAAACACAACAAGCGAAACGAAGAGAAGCTGAACAAGCTAACGTATATTCATAAAACTACCGTATAAATTTCAAAGCAAAATAGTTGACAAATATTAAACAAAAGTGAAAGTGAAAATAATAGAACAAATAAAAATATATAACGTTTTGCAATACAAACCAAATAAGAATTTGCCAATCGCATAGAGAAGAAAGAAGCATTCAGAATGCCAGCAATTGGTATTGACTTGGGTACCACGTACTCCTGTGTTGGTGTGTTCCAGCACGGCAAGGTGGAGATAATAGCCAATGATCAGGGAAACCGCACCACCCCCAGCTATGTGGCATTTACCGACTCGGAAAGGTTGATTGGAGACGCGGCCAAGAACCAAGTGGCCATGAACCCAAGGAATAGTGTCTTCGATGCGAAGCGTCTGATTGGACGTAAATTTGATGATTCGAAGATTCAGGAGGACATCAAGCACTGGCCATTCAAAGTAGTCAACGACTGTGGCAAACCTAAGATGAGCGTCGAGTTCAAAGGCGAGCAGAAGTGCTTTGCACCAGAGGAGATCAGCTCGATGGTGCTGGTAAAGATGAAGGAGACAGCCGAAGCTTACTTGGGCACCAGCATCAGAGATGCCGTCATCACTGTGCCCGCCTACTTTAACGATTCACAGCGTCAAGCAACCAAAGATGCGGGGGCCATTGCCGGTCTGAACGTGCTGCGCATCATAAATGAGCCTACTGCAGCAGCTCTGGCCTATGGCCTGGACAAGAATCTTAAAGGCGAGCGCAATGTCCTAATATTCGATTTGGGTGGCGGTACCTTCGATGTGTCGATCCTGACCATCGACGAAGGCTCTCTATTCGAAGTACGAGCAACGGCTGGAGATACTCATCTGGGCGGCGAGGACTTTGACAACAGGCTAGTCAACCATTTGGCGGATGAGTTCAAGCGCAAATTTAAGAAGGATCTGCGCTCTAATCCACGAGCGCTTCGTCGTCTGCGGACTGCAGCCGAGAGAGCAAAGCGCACCTTGTCCTCAAGTAGCGAAGCCTCCATTGAGATCGATGCTTTGTTCGAAGGCCATGACTTCTACACTAAGGTTAGTCGAGCGCGCTTCGAGGAGCTGTGCGCCGACCTATTCCGCGGCACACTGCAGCCTGTAGAGAAGGCCCTAAACGATGCTAAGATGGACAAAAGCCAGATTCACGACATCGTTTTGGTTGGCGGCTCAACACGTATTCCCAAAGTGCAGAGCCTGCTGCAGAACTTCTTCTCAGGAAAGAGCCTCAACCTGTCCATCAATCCAGACGAGGCGGTTGCCTACGGTGCCGCCATTCAAGCTGCAATACTTAGTGGAGACCAGAGTAGCCAAATCAAGGACGTGCTGCTCGTTGACGTTGCGCCCCTTTCGCTGGGCATAGAGACGGCCGGTGGAGTAATGACGAAATTGATTGAGCGCAACAGCCGCATTCCTTGCAAGCAGTCAAAGACCTTCACCACATACGCAGACAACCAGCCTGCCGTGACCGTGCAGGTGTTCGAGGGCGAGCGAGCCATGACAAAGGACAACAACGTGCTGGGCACTTTCAACCTGACGGGCATCCCACCAGCTCCACGCGGTTTGCCAAAGGTGGAGGTCACCTTCGACTTGGACGCCAACGGCATACTCAATGTGACTGCCAAGGAGATGGGAACTGGCAATGCCAAGAACATAACCATCAAGAACGACAAGGGTCGTCTCTCGCAAGCCGACATTGATCGCATGGTGAACGAGGCCGAGCAGTATGCCGAAGAGGACGAGAAGCATCGCCAAAGAATTGCTGCTCGCAACCAGCTGGAAAGCTACATCTTTGGCGTGAAGGAGGCTGCCGAAAAGGCTGCAGACAAGATTTCCCAGTCAGAGCACAGTAGTGTCCTAGACAAGTGTACGGAAGCTATCAGGTGGCTCGATGCTAATACGACTGCTGAGAAGGACGAGTATGAATACAAGCTGCAAGAGCTCACAAAAGTCTGCAGTCCCGTTATGACAAAACTGCATCAAGGCACTGCAGCTGGAGCCGGCGATGGTCCACAAGGGTCTCACTGTGGTCAGCAAGCAGGAGGTTTTGGTGGTGGCAGCTACAGTGGGCCCACCGTAGAAGAGGTTGATTAAGAATTAAGGCTTTTAGTATTATTATTTATAAGTAAAATTAGATCTCAACCAAAGAATAATTTTTAAGTGTTTATTTGCTTTTATTGAGCTTGAATAGAATTCAATTAAAACAATGTTAACTAATATATATAATTGTTCGAGTTTTGAGTATTTACTTTGGCAGTCCTTCGTGCTCGGCCCAGTCTAGCCACGATCCTTCGTAGTTCTTCACATTTTTAAAGCCCATTGCAACGGCAGCTTCTGCAGCCTTTAAGCTGCGTACTCCACTTCTGCAATGGAAAACAAGTTCTGTATCGGGCTGAGGCTTGTTCCGTGCATATTTCGATTTGAAGAGTTGGTCTTTGGCTGCCAACTCTTGGCTAACAATGCCCAATGGAATGTTAATGCTGGATGGAATCTGTCCCGTTTCTTGTAACTCCTTTGGTTCACGCACATCAATGAGCAATTTATTTGACTCGTTCACCAATTTCTTTACTGCAGCATAATCAACAATGCTAATGGGGCTGCCACTACTGTAGAGACGTTGCGGCGTTGTGGCGGCAAATGAAATATTTTGTAAAATAGTTGAAATAGTTGAATAGTTTTCGACATCAAATTTATTGGATCTTCCAGTTGTTAAATAGCGTAATGTGCACCCTTTTGCTTGTGTCACAATAGGGCAATATCTTAAAAATATCTTTGCCATTGTAATAATTTTTTAATAACAATTCTTATGTAAAACTAAGATGTAGTGGCAACCTAAATTTGCGAACAGTGATGGGAACAAAAGTTTAAGTTGATGCCGTACCGATACCGGCTATCAGCTGATTTCTTTGACAGTGTTGCCAGACTGTCTGGTCTTTAATCAGTGGGTTTGAATAAACTGTTTGAATATTGAAAACTATTAATTCTGACGTATTTTGAAGCGCATATTATAGTATACATTGTTGCCAAGCGCTTTCATTATCACTCTTCCACTACGTGAAGAGTGTATGTCAAGGCAAGGGCTCAATCAAGTTCACATCACATGATAAGTCAAAAACCCAGGCAATGTTTTTTTTTTCATTTATTTTCGTTGTGGCTGCTTGATTAATTCAATTAATCGCTATACAGAATAGCGATCCCGGATTCAATTACAGTTGCTCACACTTATGAAAATGTGTACGTATAAGCATAATATGCAAAGACACAAACAAAACAGCAAACTGATAAGCAAACATTTACATTTTCCTTCTGAATTAAGATATAGTGGAATAGTTTCAGGCATTAAACTAGGTTTATAATACGTAAAAATTTTTATTATTTTCAAAACATAATTGATAAGGAAAGAATAAAGATTAAGAAATAGTGAAATAAATTTGGGGTATACATAATTATGTATGAAGAAATGGGCGTAAACATACATAAATACATACTGACATATATAAATCGTGCACCGTTATCTTTACTGTTTACATAGAGGTGGAACAACTAGAGGTTAGAGGGGCCTAATCAGAAACTGAAAAAAAAACATGCTTTCGGATTAGAACTGTTTTTCCCATGGACCGCTAACACAGTTAACTGATAACAATTTGCATGTATGTGGAAGTCTACTATGAGGAGCTCACACAGGTCACGTACGTCATCAAATGGCGCGTGCCAATAGAGTAGATTTAAACCGGATAGGGTTGGACAAATCTGAATGCCACATTTAATAGTAAACAAGTTGTTTCAATAGAAATCTAGAATTTTGTTTGTTATTTTAACACATATTCAAATTGATAATCTGAAAGAGTGCTAGACATAAATTCCGGTTTGTTTTAATGCAAACTTTATTAGGAAAAATAGGTATACCTATATACGTTTGGTCTCTTACTACTAATGAAATCGCAAATACAACTAACTAGCTTTGAATGTGCCGTAAAAAAGCGCAGCTATATAAAACATCGGTAACTAAATACAAATAGGTACATAATGCTTGATCTTAATGCTTACATAAAAGTCTAGAACATTGTTCATAATAAAATCCAACGATTAACTGTTTTACTATATGATATTAGGACGCGTCTAGTAATGTAGACTACTTAGGCTATATACAATTATGGCCTCTTTAGAATATTTGTGATCAATCATTTACGGTCAACAATGTGTCCAAGGGATTGGCCAACGCTTATCTTTTGACCAGCCACAATATCGAACTTAAAGTTCTTTGGCGCTTCGAAAAGGAGTACAATGGTGCTGCCCATGTTGAATTGTCCAATGAGGTCGCCTTTGGAGAACTTTTGACCTGGCTGATCGGGCCTTTTCACATCTAACTGGAGCTCGTCGTATTCGTAGGTGCTTGGTGGATGGGCGCCCACATTGAAGCCCGTCCAGCGATTGGTTTTTAGATCAGAGTCCATGTAAATCTCCACAGAGCCCACATTGGTGGCTCCCACCGCTGTGTAGCTAAAGAAGCCGTGTTTCCATTTGCCCATATATAGCACACGTTCATTCAGACAGAATAGCCCAGGCAGCCAGTTCGCCACCTTGGGACTTACCGATAGCAACTCGCCTGAGAAATGACGTCGCACCGTTGGTTCCCAGGCGGCGGGTGAATGAAACCGATGATAATCGCCCGGAGCCAAATAGATAACGCATTGATACAGTTCCGTTGAGTCGTCGCGCTTCTTTTTTAAGGCCTGGGCATAGCTGATCGGCTCATTCGATTGCTCGACCGTCTGCAGCGGTCCCAAGAAATCCTCAATGCTGTAGTTGACGCCCTTTACCTGTTCGATTAGTGTGTCTGCGGCACTGCCAAAGTGCAGAACCTTGCCGTCGGCTGGGGAGACCAATGGCGATTTATCATCGATGATTCGCGCGCCTTCTTTCAGTGGGCGTGTGAAAAATTCAGCCAGACTGGTGTAGTGATTGTAATCGGGATATAAAGCCTCGTCTATGTTTACCTTAAAAATGTTTGAATACCAGCCGTATATGTAGGGGCGCAGAGTATTAGGCATGTAGCACGAGGCCAGCCAACCCCAACAGCGGCTGATAATACGCAATGGGAGAGAGCAGTAGACCTGGGACTGGAACTGTGAAGCGGTGCGTTGGGTACCGTCACGTCCGCATCGAAATTTGTGCAACTGCCATTCGATGGCACCAAAGACGCACAAGCCCATGGGTGCCCAGCGCAATAGGAATCCCGTCCACCGTGAGAGCACATTACGGCGTAATTGTAGTTGCGTCTGTTGCTTGACGTGTTGTGGTTTCGGCTTGGCGATTGTCGACTCATTGGAAGCGGCATTTGCGGGTAATTGCCGAAAGTGCCGGAGCACAGGCCAATTTCCGTTTTGCAGTACTTGCTTTGGCTGTTGCTGCTCCTGTATGGCCTTTCTAATGTTTCCCGCCTTCAGCAGAAAGCGGCCTCGCGGCACAAAATATGAAACCATTTTTACTCAAGAGTCTTGCGTCTTTTCTCGTTCTTTCCGTTCACAGCACCCACGCCACCGTAGTCGCCGCTGATTACGTATTACGTATTAGCTGTTGTGCGTGCGCTACTCTCGCTTTGATAAATGAAAATGACCCGATTTGAGTGTAGGATATGGATGTTTCTCTTATGTCAAAATCGAATGTATCACAGCAACTATTTAAATAGTTAATTGCCTGAATCTGGAAACATGTGCATATATCTGCAGCTGGTAGAGTTTATGTCAGAAAAGTATATTCTGATCAATTTTATGAGCAAGATGCGAGGGAAAAAAATACTTCCGTTATGTGGCACTGCCTGGCGACAACTGAAAGATGGAAACAAACGGTTTGTGCGTTGAAGATTAAAATTGTGTGTGAGGGCGCCATTATGACTACGTCGCATGTGGTTTCTCACCAAAACAAACTCTCTTCGTGAGCGACGACGACGACTGCGACTGCGAATGTGACTTATTCTGCTTGCTTATCAATTGCTTTTGACTTCGTGTTATTTGTAACATCAACAATCGTTATTCAAGGTTGCTTGGCGCGCGCCTTTTCCTCTTTGAGAGACCAATGTTTATGACTTACAAACAGGTTTACTTTGTTTTTTTATTTCAAGACTCACACCCATTTGTTTTGGTCTGTTATGAGTTGACAATTGCTTTTATTTTTTTTTTTTTGTATCGTATATGTAACTGCGCCGCAGCTTTATTCGCAACGGTGGCAACTCTGCAATCAGCGCAACGAACAGCTGATTGATTATTTGTGTTTTAAGTATTTATATGCAAAAAAGGATTGACTTTTATGCATTGATTAAAGAACATATGCAAAGGCGGAATCATGACTGACGCGGAAAAGCAGCCAGTTTCGTTCGCCTGCCAACGGTGCCTGCAGCCCATAGTTCTGGACGAGCATCTAGAGAAAATAAGCGTACATGCTATGGCTGAACTCTCATGTAAGACAAAACTATACACTAAAATAAATATTGGTTGGTATATGTACCTTAAATGGTTTTATTTCAGTACCTATCTATGGTGGCAATGTGAATACTATCGAACCACAGGATGCCAATAGCTTTGACCACTTTGTGCCTCCGTTCAGGCTAACGGACTCCATCAATGGTACTGGGTTTACGATGGTGTCTGATGGTCGTGATAACAAGAAATTGAGCTCTGCATTTAAGCTTAAAGCAGAGCTATTCGATTGCTTGTCCTCGAATTCTGAGATTGACCATCCTTTGTGCGAAGAGTGTGCCGACTCAATGCTGGAGATAATGGACCGAGAGCTCCGAATAGCTGAAGAAGAATGGCATGTGTACAAAACTTACCTCAACGAACTGGAACAGCAGCAGGAAATTCCAAATGTGGATGCCCTGGATAAGGAATTACAGCAATTAAAGGATAGTGAGCAAGAACTACTAAAGGAGTTGGCAAACCTAAAGGCCGAGGAAAAAATCTTGAATGATGCAATAGAGCAAGAGGAGTTGGTAAAAGAAAAACTGCATGAACAGGAGGAAAGCTACTGGCGTGAATACACCAAGCACCGTCGAGAGCTGATGCTAACGGAAGACGACAAGCGCAGCCTAGAGTGTCAGATAGCCTACTCCAAGCAACAGCTTGACAAACTACGAGACACAAATATATTTAATATAACATTTCATATCTGGCATGCCGGTCACTTTGGTACAATAAACAACTTTCGACTGGGACGACTACCATCCGTCTCAGTGGACTGGTCAGAGATAAACGCAGCATGGGGACAGACAGTATTGTTGCTGTCAGCTTTATCGCGTAAAATCGGACTGACCTTTGAACGTTACCGTGTTGTTCCATTTGGCAATCATTCCTACGTGGAGGTGCTGGGCGACAATCGTGAGTTGCCTCTGTATGGCAGCGGAGGTTTTAAATTTTTTTGGGACACAAAATTTGATGCTGCAATGGTGGCGTTTCTAGACTGTTTGACACAGTTCCAGAAGGAGGTGGAGAAGCGCGACACCGAATTTCTTTTACCGTATAAAATGGAAAAAGGGAAAATAATTGATTCTTCCACTGGTAATTCATACTCCATCAAGTAAGCAACTAAAATGCATTTACAACTTACAACATTACAGACTATCTTAAAAATTACAGAATACAATTCAATTCTGAGGAACAATGGACGAAAGCTTTAAAGTTCATGCTAACGAATCTAAAATGGGGCCTGGCCTGGGTTTCATCCCAGTTCGTCTCACAATAAAATTGCCGATTGTCATTATTTTAATTATGTATAATAATTAGTGTTTAACATACAAATAAACTCTAACATTTAATTGATTTCTTTGTATCAGCTTCAATTTCGCTGTCGTCAGTATCTGAATCACTGCCAGATATATTGTCGTCAATCCAGAGTGCGCCTTTTTTCTTCTTTATAACCTTTGCATTTGTGCGTGTGTCGCCTTTCCGTTTAGTACCAATTGTTGCACTAATATTGGATGAGCTTGAGACAACTTTGGTTGTATCAGTGTTCACTTCAGAGGTCGTCTTGGCATCCTTAGCCTGTTTCAGTCCTTCCTCGAAGGCATCATTCACCTTTTCGGTTAATTTGGCTCTGGCCTCTTCATACTGATCGTCTTTAAACTCATGCTTGGGCACTGCTAGCAGTTTCTCAATTTTGCGTTTCTTACGTTCCTCAGCTTCACGTTCACGCTCGCCTTTCTTTTCCAGCCATGCCCGGACTCGTTTCTCTTCGTTAATGTCACGTAATCGACGTCCACTCAAATCACGACATGCCTCACGGTTTGTGGTCTTCTCGATTTGCGCGCCAATAGCTCGCAGCATAGACCCGAAGCCTCCCTTGCCACCAACATGACGGAGAATGCAATGAATGCTGCCGATCTCATGTTGAAATTCTATATCTTCATTTAAACGTTTGCCATTGCATGTAAGATAATATTCTTTGGGCTGCAAATTCTATAAAAAATTTCGATATTATTTGTTAAAAATTGTTAAATATAGTTACTACTCACTGTCGTTTCCTCAATGATATCATTTAATTCTTTTAAGCTAATGCCATTTGTAGTAACAGTAGTTAACTGTTTACTGTTTACGAAAATATTAATCGCCATTTCATTAATTTTCTCTTCTACTGTTGTACTTCTTGCTTGTTCTGCTTTGTGAAGCTACATCAGCCATTGAGCGTGCGTTAGAAAGAGAAAATGGTGATGCATACTTTATCAGTCCACACAGAGTTGCCATACTATAAATAGTTAATAAAAATTGCTTAAAAATTGTCAAAAATATTTTGATTACAATTGAAAAACACGTCTGATTATTTAAAAAGTAGTTAATAAGCTTTTAAGACAGAAAGTCTCTTGTAAACATCGTTTGTCATCATTTTATTGACTTGCCGCCATTGAAACACGGCAATTGAACTGAGTTGGCAGCACAAACTGTCGCACACAAAGTGCTCATTTAATTAGTTCGCATTTTAGACGACGAAAGGTAAAAATTTGGCGACGCGTTCAGAGAACTTTTTAACCAATATAACAAATCGAAATAAATTAAAATTTAATAAAAACCGGTAGCGGCTGATATTTGTTACCAAATGATATATGTTAACAAAGCGTTTGTGAAGTGAAAAGCGGTAAATTTACAAGCGCAGCCACGTCACTGAATGCAATAAAATAGTGAATTTTAGAAATGAAATCTGAAATTTTGAGCTGAAAGTGATGCCAGCTACGAACAATGGGCAGTGTACAACGATGGCAGCAGCGGTGGTAGTTGTGTTAATGATAATTCTAGCTTTCTGCATCGGTTTCGGGTAGGAGGGGTAAAACAGCAAATCGAACAACGCTTAGCATAAAAGATGGCAGCAGCAAAGTGAACAAGATATGTATATACATGCATATACATACATACATGCGCTTGTACATTTTACATACATACATGCAAATACATATATGTATAAATAATATATAACTAGATAACCATCGCGAAATTACGAATTTGCGTTGCCTGACCGGAAAAAATGAAATGAAATGAAATATAAAATCTACAGTTAGTTGACTTTATATTGTAATAGGTTTCAACGCCATAATTATCAAAAGCAAAATAAATGGCAACTCATGTGAGGAGTAACACAAAACGCAAACAAAAAGACAAACGCGACGCCTTTTGGCTTTCCGCCCGATTTGCTGTCTTTAATTTCATTTTGACTGTGACTGAGACATAATTTCTTTGCTCATGAAATCAAATTTAAATTCAATTAAAATTGGCGTGTAAATGAATTTTTTATGAATTAAAAACGATTGAAAATAATATATAATATAAGGAATATTACTAAACAAATGCAACCGTGTGCTTTTTTTTGTTGGCCGGTTTCGGTTTTTGCAAATTTTCCTTTCTCTCCATGTTCTCTTCCATTGTGTATTTTGTTATCGACGGTCATTCATCTTCTAGTTGATTTTGGTTCATTCGTTCTCCCTCTTTTTCTATGCGCGCGCGGTTGTGAGTGTGTGAGTGAGTTTGTTAATGCTCTATAATTATTTTACCTAAAAAAAAATTGTAAATGTCCGAGAAAGTTGTATTTTTTTATTCATCAAATACAACGTAATTCCCTGAATGTACTAAAAATGCAAAAGCGTTTTATTTTTTCATATTATTAAAAATAATTGAGACAGTTGCAGCCCTCGCTTCACATTCTGCTTTCTGAGAGAGTGTTTGCGTGCGGGTGTATGTGTGAGTGTGTGTGTCTGCAATGCTTTTGCGTTACCCGCTGCCTTTGTTTCATATTCGCACTCGCGCTCATACAACATTATCCATATCAAATGCTCGCCTAATTCCCCATAGCAATAATTCGATCATGTGTTGCTTGGTGCTATTGTGGATTGTGGACTTAAGAACTAATGATTCCCAATTTTAACATAATATATTAAAAACATACTCAGTTTTTCTCAGCTCTAGCTAATATAATTAACTAAACTCTATTTTATTTTTGCTTTTTTTGCAGTGATTCCAGTCTTCAACTTCGAATCCAACCAATAATCGGGCGAACTTTCACTGAAGGCAGCGTTTATATAATACATTCATACATACACAAATTTTTGTACCAGAAATGAGCAGAAAGTCGGTGTTGATATAAACTCAATCTATCAACCACAGTACTGAAAAAATATACATTTTTTCTACAACTATTTGTATAGAGCAATACTAAAAGAAATCTAAAATTTGAATTTAGCTTGAGTTAGTGTACAACTCTCAAAGAGTATGTTCCATCAGACAACTAGAACAACTACAACTGGAGTCAAACAAGTTAAAGAGCAAGCACATCGATATATTCCAAATCACTCCATTAGAGCATAGTTAGAATATATATTAAAGAAATTTATTGACAACAACAACAGCAGAAACAACAACAGCGAAAGCAATAAACGACGAACCTCAGCGTTAAGCAAAAAGATTTACTATTAACATATATCTAGATCTATATACACGGATATATAAACAAACAAAAACAAGGAGAATAGCTGTATAGTCAGAAATTTGAAGTATTCAAAATTGTTTTCAACAAATAGAGAACATAAAAAAGAATAATAGAAATTAAAACAGTTTTCGTTGTTAGTCATTAACTAAAGTTGTTCGAATCGAAAAATATATATATATATATATATTTATATATATATATATATAATTTAATATACATTTTGTATATGATTGTGAATTGTGCATTGCATTTTTATAACAAAATAAAATAGTAAAAAATCGCAGGCATCTAGTTTTCCTGATAAGTGTTTTTGTATTGATGTGGACATTAGTTGTAGAATAGTTAATACAACATACAGTGGACACTAGCAGCAGAAGCAGCAGTAGAAGCACATAAATAGATAGAGATCCAGTTAAATAGATACATCAGTAGCTAGCTAACATCTGGTTAACATGGACGAGTCACAACCTAAAACGTTGTACGTTGGCAATCTGGATGGTTCGGTTTCGGAGGATCTGCTTATTGCGCTCTTTGGCAAAATGGGACCAGTTAAAAGCTGTAAAATCATAAGGGAACCAGGCAATGATCCGTATGCCTTCATCGAATATTCCAATTATCAGGCGGCCAGCACCGCCCTGACGGCCATGAACAAACGTGTTTTTCTAGACAAAGAGATCAAGGTTCGTTTGCATTTTATAACATACAATGTAAGCATACACCTGTATATACTGACATCTATATTGCTTACTTATAGGTCAACTGGGCCACTAGTCCGGGCAACACGCCCAAGACAGACATCAGTTCTCACCATCATATATTTGTTGGTGATCTTAGTCCAGAGATTGAAACAGAGACGCTGCGCGAGGCGTTCGCGCCATTTGGCGAGATATCAAACTGTCGCATTGTGCGCGATCCACAGACCATGAAATCCAAGGGATATGCCTTCGTATCGTTTGTAAAGAAGGCTGAAGCTGAGAATGCAATTCAGGCAATGAATGGCCAATGGATTGGTTCACGTTCTATACGCACGAATTGGTCAACGCGCAAATTGCCGCCTCCACGGGAGTCGTCCAAGTCGGGTGGCCAAGGTGGCGGTATGGGTGGCATGGGTGGCGGCGGAGGCGCTGGCAATGGCATTAAGAACAACCAACGACATACCTTCGAGGAGGTGTACAATCAATCAAGTCCCACAAACACCACCGTTTACTGTGGCGGTTTTCCGCCAAATGTTATCAGCGATGAGCTGATGCATAAGCACTTTATGCAATTTGGTCCCATACAGGATGTTCGTGTTTTCAAAGACAAGGGATTTGCGTTCATCAAATTCGTTACAAAAGAGGCGGCGGCACGCGCCATAGAGCATACACACAACAGCGAAGTGCACGGCAATCACGTCAAGTGCTTCTGGGGCAAGGAAAATGGTGGCGATAACTCGGCCAACAATGTTAATGCAGCCGTTGCGGCGGCTGCTTCTGCCAATGTGGCCGCTGTTGCGGCAGCCAATGCGGCTGCTGCTGCGGGTGCTGCTGGCATGCAAGGCCAAATGATGACACAGCAACAGATTGCCGCAGCCACTGGGACAGCGTTACCTGGTCAAATGATGACGCCCCAACAGATAGCAGCTGCTGCGGCGGCGGCGCAGGCGCAGTATCCCTATGCGGCAGCATACCAACAAATGGGCTACTGGTACCCACCGGCGGTGAGTGACAATGGCAACGCATACTAAAAGTGAATAACTTATCTTAACTAATACATTTTTATCTTATAGCAGAGCTATCCGGCCCAGATGCAAGCGCAGTACATGCAGCAGGGTTATTATCCGTATGCCTACACTACCAGTGCTCAACAGGCCGGAGCTGTACGTAAGTATCAAAACCAATTGGATAACGATTTATATTCAATTTGGCATTAGTATATATCTGCAGAAGCAATCGTAATTTGTATATGAATTGTAATATATTGGTGTTTTGTCCTTTCCAGCTGCCGGGTACCGTGTGATGCCGCCAAATATGGCATGGGGCGTGCCTGGTGCCACCGTGGTGCCAGGCGTAACTGCCGCCGCTAGTGCAGCTGCTGCCGCGAACGGTTCGCTTGCCCCACAAATGATGTATAGCGCTGCGATGCCACAATATCAAACCCAATGAGCAGAGACATGACGCCTGCTTCGACGCCGTCTGCAATATTCAGGCAGCCTGCAGCGACCGCATCCGCATCAACGTCCACATTATTTACAACAACAGACCAAAATCGTGTTCGAGTCTGAAACTATTAGCACTGATGACAACAACAACAACAAAAACGACACAAGCAACAGCATCACAACAAAGAGCAGGAATTAAGATCTGTTAGCGAGAAGACGCTTGAAATTTACCCTAATGTTTCAATTCCTATCGTTTCTACATTGTGTTGTGTTCAGTTCAGTTTGAATTGCAATGCATTAGCATTGCAATTTGTGTCATCATTCGCCGTATGCTCTGCAGATGTTTGTGTGTGCGTACCGTGCGTGCCGTGCGTGCAGTTGGTCGAAGCAAAGCGTCGAACTAAAAGTTGAATCGCGCGCAGCGTCAGCGGCAGCGCTCTGAAGCTCTGGGCGACGGGCGGGTAGCTGTAACAATCTAATCCAATCTAAGTACATGTTAAAATAATTTAATGATTTGTAATTTAAGTCAGATATAGGCGTATACAAGAAGCGGAAACAAAACATACAACAAAACAAAGCAAAAAGAAAACAAAAAATAAAGTTTAAACATCAGCAATTGAATAAAATAAAAAGCAAAAAACAATCGATCGTGACAAAGCAAAATATAATTGTTGTGAAAACTTGCAATTCAAAGCATTGGCTCTTGTGTCAACAGTGAATGCAAAAAAATTCAAATTAAAACATCAACAGGCCGAAAATAAATGCATAAACAAATTTAGTTAGTAAGCGATTGTAAATGCGAAAAAATATTCATAATTTCGATGTGTGAATTATGTATGTAAATGTAAAATAAAGAAACAAAAAAATATATAAAACAGAAAAAAATCTTAAAAATAGATCAAAATATGTTTGACACATCAAAAAAAATTTTTTAAAACAGTAGGAATTGCATACATTTTTAGATTTAAATGTCGCAGTTATTTAACAGATTTTTGTATAACAGTATCAAATGAGTACGAATGCAACGCGATAACGATTATTTTTAAGAATATTTTGTTTTTGAATTGAAGTTTTATTGCGCAATATTCATTCTATTCTCTCTTTTGAAATGACTAACTGCAAATGCTTTTGTGAGCTCCTCTTGACGCGGTGATGGATCTTTATTGCTTCCAATTCGTCACCCTCAAATTATGTTACTTACACTTCAGCGAAATGAGAGACTTTAAAATGAATACCGCCAGATAAAACAATAAAATAATAAACCAGTAGTTAGTAGTTTTCGATACAATAAAATTTTTCGAAAAATATTAATCGAATAGATCTCAAAGTCTAGTATTTAAAATATATGTCGATAATGTGGAAAAATCTTTACAATATTATATCTATTATGAAATAATTACTAAAAAAATTTATTTAAACACATCTGTCAAATTTGTTTAAGATATCTTAAAATAATTACATATCAAAAGTATTTAATCATAGCAATAAAAGAACTGGTGAAACTAAACCAACCTACATTTAGTATTTTAGCTGGGAAATCAGTCTATTTTGTTTATTTTTAAAGTCCGGTCACACTACTAGTCGACGCGCGTTAGTTTTTTAATTTTTTCACCAGCGTCGGCATCACTTTTGGATCCGCGAACGCTCTTGTCTATAAATTTAAAAGTTTAACATACGTATTTGAAAAGTTTTTTCCGTGTTATATAAAAACAAAACAAAAGGTTTGTTTTCTTTTTGCATAGGATTAAATATATGAATATTTTGTTGCGAAATATAAGTGTAGCTGGAATATTTTTCTTTTGTGTTGCGGTAGGATTCGAGTATGGAGTAGACACAATTGCTCAGTTGCCGGGCTTCAATAGTACAATAAAAATCGCCGAGTGTTGTGGAATAAACAAACGAGTAAAATAAAATTGCGACAAATGCATATATTTGTTATTAATATATGTAGATAAATACCCCCTGTGGAAATGCACCATACATATGCATAGATATGTATGTATGTATTATTTTTTATCACTGCAGCTTCCGCCATTTTTAAAACAAACCCCTTCAATTGAGCCTGTATGGTACAGTGGTGGCAAAACATTAACCTAGGGCCGGTTTAGTTAATGTAATACCGATACTGAAGAAATATCAGGCTCAAATTCGAGTTTTATCTTTACATATAATGAAATTTTGTATTTAAATGATCGTTTAAATGGTTCACCCCTCTTTTAATTGAGCTTAAGCAAGAAGAGGCTAATATTTTGTGACGCACTGTAACCCGCCTTTTTATTGTGTATGTATATTAGTATGTGTGCCTTTGTTACTGCAAATTTGATACTTAATACTCCAGCGGTTAAAATATATAAACATAAAACATTTCTTAAAACATACATTGTTCAATGAACGTAAACATATACATTAGGTTAAAAATGGAATTGAAATGTATATTTAAACGTACATTTACCCATACACACTTTCAATTATGTTTATGCTCTCTTTAATGAATATTTTGCTATGCATGTTGCTTGTTTATTTAGTTGGGTTTATTAAACCCTGCAACACTGAAGCAAAAACAAAAAAACTACATGATGATGGCGCGAGGGCTTGCCGCATAAGTGCATACATAAGTATGCATGTACATGTAGATATATGCGTTTGTCATTTCAGTGCATGTGTTTGTGTTTTGATTGCCGTCTGAGTTTTGCATTTTGCTGCTGCATCGTGTGTGTGTGTGTGTGTGTGTGTGTGCTTTTTTCTGTTTCTCTGTTCATTTATTTTTCGCGATGTTGCCTCCTGCACTTTCTAAAAGAAAACTGCAACATACTTGATGTTTAGTGCATTCGCCAGACAACTATCCCTGACTCTTTCTTCTTTTTTGCCCATATTAAACTTGTTTGTATCTTTTGCTTTTTACCTAGGGGCATTGAAAAACTGTGAAATACCCATCACATGGGACATTTTCTGTTTGGTATTTTGCGCATTCTTTTTCCACTTTAGTGTTTTTTCATGCCACAGACCGGTATTTGTTGTGCTTATTTACAATAAAAGCACTTGCATGTTACTCGTGCACAATTACAGTATGCATTCGCTGAGTTAAACTTAATTAAAAGTACTTATGTGAAGGTATACTATTAATGTATAATAAAATACAGATTTTGTTTATTTGCGAACAATGTTAAGATAATAAACAGTACACCTATAATGTTCGAACAGTACCTAATCAGTTTAATTAGTTCACTATACCGATTGCACACTGTACGCTTGCTTTTAACTGCATATTTACCGGAAGCCAGCAAAGAACAAGTGTGGGAGTAAGAACTAGTAATGTGGAACGATGTGTCTTGTTTGGACACCATCCCTAAGACAGCCCCTTATAACGGTTACTCAACCATAACGATCTCAATATATAATATAATGTTTCGCCAGGCACTTGGCAATTCCTAATATCTATTTACAACATAGCCGTACAGATGTTGTCATAAAACGATTTATTTAGCAGCTGCTGATCTTCAGGTAGCCATGCTCTTGCTCCCAGATGCTGCTTTCAGCGAATCCCTGTTTACCTGCAACCTACACTCTGCGCCTACTTAAACACTGTGCAGCATTTTTTGCCACGCATTCTAAATTGTTAACTTGAAACTGTCAATACGTGTGCAAAAAATATAATAAAAACGCTAAGCGTCTAAAAGTTAAAATAAATATCTGTTGAGAAGCACGAAGCTGCATCTGTGATAGAAAACTGCAAAGCAAAAACAAAAAGAACTCGATTTCCGTAACTGTGGTAAGTGGGGTATAAGGCGGCACAGAGCCGGTTCGGGCGAGGAATGTTAAACAGCATTGTTGGGTGCGATGTAAACAAGCCGCAGCGTTTTGCTCTTTTCTAAACGATGAGGCGTGTTTAGATGCCTTTCGTCTTCGACTTTCAACTTGAACTGCTAATCGAAATGAAATGCAGGAATAAAGAATTCCAACGTAATTTGAGGCTGTATTTGGATTATAAAATAAATATCAATATGTTTTTGTGGAACAAGTTGTTCAAATTAAGTGGAAATTTCATGATTTTTAAAACTTATAATTATTATATTTTTTGCGTCTTTCAGAATTAATTATCGTGCGACACGAATAAGTACATAGTAGAAGACAATCTAATGCTTAGCAAAATGGCACAATCGAATAATAATGGAGGTGGAGGTGGCGGCGGTGCCACTGCTACTGGAAGGCGGATGCCGATGTCTTTGACCGGAGCAGCCGGTAGCGCCTCCACAGTTTCCCGCGTTCACCAATCAGCCGCCAGCAATGGACGCTCTAACAGTCCACAGAATAACAATGCGATCAAGAAAAACGAATTGAACTTTGCGTCAGGACCATTTGTAGCTATCAAGAAATCAAGTGGTATTCCCCAGCGATCGAGCAGCACTTCCTCCACTGCTTCAACAGCTTCCTCTTCCTCTGCCTCAAAAAATGATGAAAAGAAAAGTCAAAATGGCACTATCAAATCTACAAATGGCAATCAAAAGACGTCACAAAACGGCAGCTCAAGTGCCACTGCTAAGGAACAACAAAAAACTAAGGAAAAACTGTCTGAGAAAAAGGACCCGGTCCAAGCGGAAGTTATTGATGACGCTAAGGAAATCAAAAAAGATACAAAACCAATGGCAGCATCGCCAAGTGCAGAACCTAAAACTGTTGAAGTTGGTGATAACGCAATCAAAGATGTGGATGACGATTGTGTAATCACTGAAGTGTTCAACACGCCGACTGCGGAACGTAAGTCATCGCGCAGGTTGGCCGGGTCTTCAGCCGTCATAGAGAAGTCGCCCGTAAAGCCACAGGAGAGTGAGTCTCCAGTTTCGAAGAAGCAGACTGTGAAAGCTAACGAAAAAACGGAAGAGGCGGAAGACGTCCAAATGGAGGCGCTAACAGTGGAAGCTTCGCCCATTCGAGTCGTGACTAGTACGCAGCCAACTGCCACGTCTACGCCCGGGCGCAATCTCTTTGGTTTACGTAGTAGCAGCAAGCAGACTACCGAAGTGGAATTGGCCGCGCAGCCATCTAGCTCCCCAGCAATTACACCTGCACGTAATTTTGCGCAGATTAGCGGTCGCCGGAGCATACGCCCAGCAGAAACTCTAACGCCTGGCAAACTGGGTAGCTATAGATGCGTTAATACTGACCTGGATACCTCCAGCTGCACAAACACGAGCATGAATGCCACCGTGGGCTCTGAGATACCCAATAGTTCTTCATTCTCATTCTCGTTCTTTGGACGCGGACGTAAACGTGAGCGCACACCTCCGCCGCTATCCAGCAGCCAGTCGGCAAACGATCTCGCCCAGGATGTCGAAATGTCACCGCCAAAACGTGCACGCTTCGATCTTTTTAGCCTAAACTTGGCATCACCATTCACCATGCTGCGATCGCGATTCTCGAAAACGTCAATTAGCACGCCGTCATCGCGCCAGCGTCACGAGCAGACACCACCAACTGGTGATGATGAGGGCACAGAAGTGCAGAATGTATCGGGGATTATTAGCCATGAGGAGGAGCAACAGCAGCTTAATAAATCTTCGGCCAGCAATGAAGCTAGTGTGGCCCATGAAGCTGGACTGGAAACGCCCAAGAAGAGTGGCGTAGAAGGTGAGAAGGATATAGTACAGGGTGAGCAGAAGGCTGAGGATCAAGGTGAGGATGCTGTGGCCAAGCTGCCCGATACTGATGGGGCCGTTCCCGTTGAGAGCGAGGGCTCCAACACTTCACGCTGCGCCATTATGTGAGCAATTCCGATACCTTCCGACTTCATCTATAGTAGCTTTAGCCATTTAAGATAAATGTCTTTCATTGTTTAAATGTTCAGTTGACCTCTTTGGTAATTTGTGGTCTTTTGCGAAAATTACATTTTAAGAGAGCATTAAAATTGGGTTAAACCAAAGCCATGTCTAAGCGCTGGATACAGCTTATGAGAGTTGTTAGCCATGCGCTATGCACATGGGCAGCCCATCTAATGATTTCTTGCTACATAGCTGCCTTCCAGCTCCCGATATGATAGCCTATAAGTCAGTTATGTACCGACAAATCTTTTATTTCACCAACTAAATCATTTCAAGTACCCTTAGGACATTAGGTACAAAAAACAATAACAATACAGACAACATAATCATTTAACATACATAAGATATATGTAGTTTAAGATGTACAAGTTTTATAAGATTTGTGTATTCAATTCAACATTTTATTTGTCACCACAATTTGTATTAGTAAATAATAAAACACAATATGTAAGAAAAATTCGATGTTTTTTTAACAATAAAAATCATTTTAAATAAAAGCTTGTTTCACTAATTTATGCAATTACTAAGAGCAACTTAAATTTGCTTAATTTTAAGCAAAGATTAAGAATTTTTTTACATTAATATAAATATGTGATTGATTAAAATACGTGATTGTGGGGCTATTATCCATATATGTTCAATAATTTGTATCTTTGAAAACCCGCCATTCACTTTTGAATACGTTCGAATTCGGAAACATTTTGAAATACGCGGCAACTGCAACGTAACTGATCGAAGTATTCATTGATTAATCGATAAGTTTCGGAAAGACTTGTTATCGTAGTTCATTTATTATCCTCTGCAAATTCTTTATTTATAAGCTCAATAATAAAAATGTGAAATATGGGACAATTTGTCGATAGTAGATTTGTTTCACATTTGAAAATAATAAAAGCGTAACAATTTTCCCAAAGTGACTTTTAGACCTAAATTGACCACATTTTTATTCGAATAACAACGTGCATTATTAGGGCTGTCAACTCGTTTATGGACAGGGACAGCCCTGTATATAAATAAGTTTCTAACACTGGGATTAGTAAAACATATCGACGCGCTGTTTAAATTGTTGCTTGAAAAATTTTCTAGAATCAATTAATGTTTTGCAATTTATTTTTAAAGAATACATTACGTTAACATGCATGTAAGAATGCAGTATTAACAATTGCGGTCAAAAATACTTTACGCGCGAGAAAAGAATCCAGCGAAGCAAATAAAACTGAAAATCAAGAATTGGAGGATAACATGGAACACACTGATTTGGCGACTTCGCAAAACGAGTTACATATTGACTACAAAACACCAAAGAAAATAAGCTTGCTAATCGAGAATGAGGAGTTATTGGATAAAATAAATATATTAACAACAAAACCAGAAAATCACTCGTATAATGCAAAGGTAAATTAAAATGTGCAGTTATAATATAGACTCACGTATTGTATTAATACATAGAACACGGGTCCCGTTACTTGCTACACACACATATGAATACATCAATTTTGTGTACTCCATTGTTAATGTATTTTATCATTGCAGCTGCCCACAATTAAGGACTTCGTCATCATCAAGCCTATTAGCCGAGGTGCCTTTGGCAAAGTATTCCTGGGCTATAAACACAACGACCCAAACAAACTGTTTGCCATTAAAGTGATGCGCAAGTCAGAGATGATCAACAAAAATATGGTTTCCCAGGTGATAACCGAACGCAACGCTTTGGCATTGTCGCGCTCACCATTCTGTGTAAATCTTTTCTATTCGCTGCAATCGGTGTCTTCCGTCTATCTGGTCATGGAGTATATGGTCGGCGGTGATCTTAAATCGTTGCTAGCCATGTATGGGTACTTCGATGAGCCGACAGCTCGCTTTTACGTGGCCGAGATGGCCATGGCCCTGCAGTACCTGCACCAACACGGCATCGTCCACCGCGACATCAAGCCGGATAACATGCTGCTCTCGTCTAGTGGGCATGTGAAATTGACGGATTTCGGTTTGAGCAAAATTGAATTGCGTCGCGATCTGGAGATATCCGATCTCATCAATTGTTCTCCCAATCTTAATGCACGTACGCCGGGCCAGCTACTGTCGCTCACGTCGCATTTATCCTTTGGCTCCGAGAAGAAGTTGCAGGATTACGGTGCCATAAGTGGTGTCCCTGCGGCTGTCACCGGTACGGGCACCTCACATCTTATGCAAGCCATTAACAAGCATAGCCACATTATGGAGTCCTCAGATAGTGAGGCGGACACGTCGCTAAATGATGCGGAGAAGACGAGTGATAGCAAAATCTCTGGAGTTTCGCCATTTTTTTCGGCCGAAGAGGTGAACGTTTCAGTTTTGCACACCTGCACCACAAACAATAACGTAAGCAACGAATATTTGTGGCAAGACATTGACTAATATTATTTGGTTAACAGTTTTTGGATAGCAGCTCGTCTTCCTACCATACCTGCACATCGGCGGAGATTAGTAAAAGCTCGCCGCCTCTGGAGGCAACAGCCGCGGGCGGGGCTCCGGCAAACACAAAACGACGTGTAGAATTCGTCTTAGATAGCATTGCTAACGATGGTAGTAACAGTGGCCGTGATCGTGCCAACTGCCAGGTGAGTGTCTGACACTAGGCGTTTCTAGTGCACCTTTTAAATATGCATATGCTTCATTCACTCAAAAGGGCTGCATATTGGCCGAACAGGACAAGGTCAACATTGTTGCTAGCGGCGATGATAAAGACGTTGCCAAGTTGGAAAATATGAACGGATCCTCGTTTGAATTTTCTATGGTACGCAGGCGTTCACTCGATGAGGTGCGTTGTATCCTGTGTCTAAGTGTCGCGTTTTGTCCTTCCCTGTCTCAATTTATGTATGTTAAAGTCTTAGTTGTGGTTGTAGTTTCCAGATGGTATATGGTATGAATTAAGAAATAATATCATAAGGGCATCAGTAGAAAAGGTTAAAGAGATACAGAAGAGGCTGTTAATGTTTTATGATATATGCATTTGGTTTTTGGTATGGATTAATTTGTGTGTCATTAAATCTGATCTGAGCATTAATCAGATACAAAAGATTTCCCATTAAACTTATTTGTATACATTGGTGATGCTATAAATGACTTAGTATATTGCTCATATAACTCTTAACTTATCTGTTCCGAAATTCGAGCAGCGCAACCGCAATTCGAAGCTTCAAGAGGATTCTGGCGTATCTAGTCGAAAGGGTGACGATAACTCTAGCTGTCATATAAATTTAAATTGCGAGAGCACCGCATCCTCTATAGAAAAGAACACTGATAATCTGAGTCAGTCGAAGGAAGAGTACAGCTGTTCCGATTACTCACGCAGGTAAATATTATTTGGTATAGCAATCAAATGAGCGCTACTAACTTGTTCTCAATTTCAGTTACAACATGACAAATAATGCCAACGAGCTAAGTGGCATACGCATGAATTCGCCATTCCGTAATCTGTCTAAACATTTCAAGCGACCTGAATTTCTGCGCGGCATGAAACGTAAAATTAATCTGGTCAATCGCTCGGAAAACAATTCATGCATGGATGTGGATGCATCTGGGAGTGCGAGTACAAGTACTGGCTTAACCCAAGAAATCGAGATACTTAACATTGGTAGCAGCACACCCAAGAAGCGGAAGGCACGATCCTCACCAATACGTGGAGTATTGAAAGTGCGTTCTCTATCGGATGACGAGTTGCCCATGCAGCATCTCCTGGGGTCTGAGGCTAACGTGGCCAATGTAGTCTTCTCGACGCCTGTCTCCTCACAAAAGCTGCCACGTCGTGATGGTGGCCTGCTGGGGAAGTTGAAGGCTACACGTTTCGCCCTGCCCTTGTCCATTGAAAATAAAAAACTGGAGCACATGGCCGTGGAAAAGCTATCGAGTGTTCAGTATCATATAAAATTGGCCGACGATCCAACAATGTCGCCTATTAATCATGGCGGCGTGACTGTGCCCAAGACGCCAAAAAACAATATAAACGTAAACACACCATTTCGTACGCCAAAATCTGTGCGACGTGGGGTGCGCATCTCGAACGAACGCATTCTTGGCACACCGGACTATTTGGCGCCAGAGCTGCTGCTGAAACAGGGTCATGGACCGGCTGTCGACTGGTGGGCACTAGGTGTGTGCTTTTACGAATTTATGACTGGCATACCGCCCTTCAACGATGAAACGCCTCAGAAAGTTTTTGACAACATTCTTAATAAGAGTAAGTAATACTAGATTCGCTCCAGGCTCTATTATAGTTGTTAATCCTCTGCAGACATTGAATGGCCTGAAGGTGATGAGGCTTTATCTGCTGATGCAATGGAGGCTGTGGAGCTAATGTTGACCATGGAGCCCTCGGAGCGCCCAGCTGCCAGGGAGGTGCAGCAGATGCGCCTTTTTGTTGGCATCGATTGGGAGAACATTGGGAATATGGAGCCACCGTTTGTGCCCACGCCGGACAATCCAACTGATACCGGATATTTTGAGGCACGCAATAATATGCAGCATCTGCAGTTATCCAACTTTGCGTTGGATGATTAGAGAATAGCTCACCCGTACGTCTAGTTTTATAAGTTAAGTGTTATTTATATACATTGTGTAGCAATTTGTACTTGTCAATTTTATTTTTATATATTTTTTATTGTTATCTCCGTTAGATCAATATTTATGTATTCAATTTTTAAACTTTCGAAATATCAACATCGTCGTAAACAATCCTGTATAACGCTCGATTTCGATTTGGTTACTGTAACTAAGCTTAAACAAATAGCTCCAAGTAGACACGCTTGTAACTGATTAAACAAATTTAGTCTCCAAGATGTAAGCATTAAAGTTAACCACGTATATTTTTTCAATGTTTTGCTTGAAGTTTTCAATAGCAATGAAAAAAGATCACTTTATTCATTCTTGTTGATGTGTATATATATAAATGTGTATGTATAAATCTATAAATTGTAGAAAAGTAACACAATTGGCTGCCACAATTATAACTATGTTGCTTTTAGCTTGTAATCGCAATCCCATACCTCCGGAATGGTCGTTAGATAGCTCTCCTCATAAAAGACATCAATAAGACGGCATATCAAATGGGGAACAGAACGCAGATCGGGCATAAGCTGCTCTTTCAGAATGCTTATGGCCCTGACGACCAGCGGCTTAACGTCCACGAATTTTTTATTGGCCAACAGCATGGCCAGCTCCCGCATGGCGCTCTCATACTCCTCGCACGGCAGTCGCAGGTCACGACTAGCCGGAAAGAGAGAATAGATAATGCATGCCAGACAACGTGTCAGCACTTTGCGCCTGCAATGCAGAATTGTTTTTCTTGTAAAATATATATAGGTTAAAAGATAGTTATTATATACTTATTGGTTATGTTTTCAGATTTCAGGCCTATCACGCCCAGCAGTCCATCGCTCCAGCCCTCAGCTTTGGTGGAGGCTATCTGCAACTGGCGCGCGAGCATGTAGAGCGGTTTCTTAATGTGCTCCGAGTCCTGAAGTAGCTTACAACCACGTGATATGATTAAACCCCAGACAAGCGCCATGCGCGGTTCAGTCTGCGGATTCGTCTTCAGATTTTCGAGCAATTGCGTCAGGTCCTGCAGAAAGGTGACCTTTTCGCCAACCGTTTCAATCTCCTCCAGTTTGTAGAGCACAAAAATGTGCAATGAAAAGAAATAACCGCCGCGCATGACAGGCATCAATTCCAGCTTGGGAAGCGACATTTGCAGCGCATCGAAAAGACCCTGCCAGCTAGGTGAGTGCCAAGCGGCTAGCTCTGTCGATCTGCGGAAATAGCATTCTATGCTAGACTCCAGAAGCGTATAGATACAAGAAATATATGTATTTAGATGGCCAATGGCGGGTAGAGCTGCGCACATGACCGGATTGGCTGGAGGACATCGATGTTGCCATCGTACCAAAGTTTCAATGTGGAGGCTAAAAATACACCAGATTAATTAGGTTAGGAATTCATTAACAACAAGCATAAAAATAACAAAATAGTTGATCGACTTACTTAGATACCTCCTCGCTTTGCGTCTGCGTGGGTGCCACAAGCTCAAGCATCAGATTGAGTGCTTCGCGTCGCTGCTCTTCCGGCGTTCGTCGCTGACTGCTGCTGGTAATGACTACGTCAATGGAATCCAAGAGCTTTTCAAAAGCTGCGGCAAAGGCACGTTCACCCTCCTTGGTGGCCAGCAGCTTCTTGTGTTTGATCGCACAGGCACGGTGCATACTGACCATGGAGCGTGTGTACATCATTCGCTTGGCCGTGGCCTGCACCAGAGTACCCTGTACGTCGCTCTCTGGCAACATTGCGCAGGCTGCGTGAATAAGTCTAAAGAAAGAGAAGATTGAAGAGAAGATTGAAAAAAAATCGTATGGTTCTGCTTACTCTAGCACTGCGCGATCAGCGTAGTTGCTTTCGGCAGGCAGCTTCAGAGCAATGGCCGGGTCAACGTGAGCCACAAACCACTTGAGCAACTGTTCCAGCTCACTGTATTCGACAAGATGCCACGGTTGGTTGATAGCGTCTTCGAGTATCTTGCTTGTATTGGGATGCATGTGAATGTTCGGCTCGAGTGCCATTTTGATAAAGATGACAAAAAGGTGCGAGAGGAGAGTCAACGGTTGCGACGTGTGCGAAAACCAGGTGTTCCAATCTATCCTTATAAATATGTGACCTAGCATAGCATGCGACTCTGGTATGAAGCGTTGCAAGCTCTCATAGAGCAGTTCAATATGTTGGGCGGGTGGCAGGAATCGATCCCAGGGCAACTGTGCCAGACCGTCGTGAATGGGTGCCAATACATGGCTAGCCACGTTGAGCTGTGCAAAGTGATGCACATACCAAGCGAACATGTGCTCCAAAATCTTGTTGGAGGCGGGCAGATACTGCACCACCTGTAAAACATTGCATATAAAAGATCTGATCATCAGTTTGCTGGTGTCCACATGCGGTTCACTCCAAGGAAGCAATATCTTGCCCTGATCAGGGCTAAGCTGGCGTATCCAGTGTGCGGCAGCGCCTGCCGCCTGGTCGGTTTGCTCAGTGTAGGGGATTAGCCAGGGTGCATAGGTCTCCACAATGGAGCCAAAGACAATGTCGCTGACTAAATGAATCGAATTAAATTGATTCACAAAATGGCAAAATTCCTTGAGTCACTCACTTTGATCTGCCAGTAATTCTTGATAGCTGCAAATAGCGGCCGCCAGCACCACGTGTCCAAAGCAGGTAAACCACATAACCAGTGGCCAACAGTAGTCCTTGTGCTTGGGGTAGAGTCCATAGAGACCATGATGAAGTCGCTCCTTTTGAAAGTGACGCGCAAACAGCAAAAGCGTTTCCGTAGCTGCTTTCAGCGTAAACATCTTTTGGCGACGGGCAAAGTCAGATGCCAATTCGTGCAGTTGCATTTCCAAGCTGTTCAGTGTCAGAGAAGAGCTTGCGGGTGATAAGAGCGCATTAAGCAGATCAAGCAGCACCACCGGCATCAACCTTTGATCCGATATGCGATCGAGCACCAGCTGCATGACCTCACCGTAATGCTGCGGAAAATCGTAAGTAAATATATGAACCAATTGCCGGCGGAATTGATCCTGCAAAAGGCTACTGTGTGGCTGGGACCAAGACTCCAGACCTTGTAGCACCAGCAATAGCAGCCGATTAATTTCGCTTAGCTTTGGCTGATATGCCTCCAGCCAGCTGAGCAGATCAAACTTAGACAGAAGTACGAACAGAATTTTAGTGTCGCAGCGTTTTAGATGCGAGTCGATGAGGAATTCATACATATCCAAAAAATGTTCGGCGTCAGTGCGGCAGGGCACAAAAACACCGGCCAGCAGCTCCACAAGGTCACCTCTTCGCAGGGCCAAGCGTAGCACATCCAATCCCTGATCTGCCTGCTCTGCTTGAATGAAAATCTGTTAAAAGGAAGTTAAAGATCGTCTTTATAGATTTGCATCATGTATTTTTTCAATGCTTACGCCAAGGTCTTGCAGCACTTGCGAGTAGAATTTGTTTGTGGGCTGGAACTTCATTGTTATATCGTTCATGTTGTCTACAACATGATAGAAAAAGCATATGCCAATCGACGTGGCACGTTTGTTAGGCTTGGTCTGCTCATGAAGCAGATGTTGTATGCAGCCACCCAGCTCTTCGATGGCCTGAGCAAAGCCGTCCACATTCAGAGCCAGCATCTCTTCCACAATCTTGTCATGACGTTCTCGGTTTTGGTCCTGCTTCCTCGCTATCTGCTCGTTGCGACGTATATGCTCCGGAACTAGCTGGATCTGCGCCGGACGCACACACTTGCGATTGAAAAGTAAGGATTCACACTCCTTGCTACGCAGTTCGTTGTATGGCACCATCTGGTACAATGCTGGCACGCGTTCCAAATAGTTTAGGTTGAGCGAATTGAGCTCCGACGTGTTATAATGGAATTTACTTTAAAAACGAGAAAAGATGTAATTAGAGATCAATATAAGCTCTAATATCCCAATTCTCTTACTTTGCTGTGCTGTTGAGAGTTTGTATGCGACGCTTTAGCTCGGAAAGCGTACTGTCATCGATCGGCTGCTTCTCAATTTGCTCCGGACGACTGTGGTTAGGTGGCGGAAGGCGTTTGTCATAGGTTGCCAAATGCATTTTGAGGCGCTGGACGGGTGGCAGCCTCGGCTTCGGCTTCAATGGCGTGCGCAACACCTTGTGGAGATGCACTCGATAGATCTTGGCCGACCATTGATCTGCCTGACGACGCTGCTCCTTGCGCAGATCACTGGCGCTTAGAAACTCTGTCCAGTGAGAGACGTGACCGCTAAGTAGCTCGCGCAGCTTCTCATTGTTGTATTGTGCTGGCAACTGACAGGCATCGCTGGCAAACTTATTAATCTGTGTATCCTCTAGCCAGAGGGCACAGCTCTGCATCAGTTTGGTGCAGCTGCGGTACATGTGCGCTGCTGCATCATCCTCGGCGCGCTTGGTGGCAATGGCAGCGTAATATACTTCGGCGGACTTTAGCTGCGTCTTGATAGACTTCATCAGTGGAACGTTGTGCTCATAAAACTTTTCAGCCACACCACAGTTTAGATTCATATTCTCGCTAGTATATTCCGCCGGCAGCCGCCACAGATAAAGCTCAAAGAACTTCTGACAAACGATTGGAAAGAGAGCGTGTCTGGGATCCATGCTGGCCAAGAGCTGCGCGTACTTGTAAATGACCAGATTCTGCACTGGAAAGAGTGTAGTCTTGCTGAGCGATAGAGTTTTCTTAAGCGCCATCTCTACTGTTTGCGTGGTGAGCTGGCGTAGGAGTTCTGGCCAAAAGCGAGTATCCTGCAGCCTGAATTCAATCTCCAATAGTATAAGATTTAACCAGCAGGTCTGTGGTAAGATCATGGGTATACGCAAATTGGTTTGTCCTCCGAACAATGATTTTAGTCCAGAGGATTTTGATGGTAACTTCCAGTCGCTGCAGTCCTAGAAGACGGTGCGTCAGCACATATTAGATCTATCGTATGTAATTTATTGAAATACCTTGTAGTAGTTATAAAAGAACTCGACAGTCTGCGCGCGACAATCGGCAAATTGGTATGCGATGCGCAGCATCTTATCCAGGAGATATAGCACGTGCGTATTTTGTGCCCAGCCAGGTAATGCAGTAAGGCAATTCAGCCAAATATTGATTAGATTCAGAGGAGAACAGAGGCCATAGCTAAAAAGCACCAAAATACATTATATATCAATCAATTAGATGCTGTCAATTTACGACTTGCCTTGTGTAAGACACAATCTGGTGATGCATCATATTATCCAGCAATTCAAGAATGGGGCCAATGGAATTGGCATAAACCATATCCTTGGCCAGCTTTAAGTAAGTCCTGTCCGCATTGAGCAGCGTTAGCATCAGTTTCTGAAAACTGTAATGAAATAGATTGTAGTAGAATTATTGTTCTTTGCGTTTGTGCTTAATCCATACCTTTCGCAATTTGCTAGCGTGTCGGGGGTTTCGAGGAAGAGCGGCACAATCAGCTCGAGGCTGCGTATGACCGCCGCATGTCTATGATCGTTGAGCAACTGTTGGAGCAGGTCAAAGCCATGCTGGCATATAACAGGTATTGAGTGGCCATGTAGGCTCACCAACACCCCGACATAAAATGCCAGTGGACGCTGCTCGGTAACGCCTTGCCAAATCATATCCAAACGTTCCAGGTCCGGCACAAAGAGCAGCGGCTCCGTGGGATGCTGTAGCGTGCGCTTAACAGACTCGACACTCTGATCCATCAGATGCAGATGCAACATAGAGATCATGCGCCAGCACCAGTTAGTAAACTGCTCTCGACTGGATTGGCTCGAGTCGATCAGTGAGGAGACCTGCCGCACGCTCTCCGAGATGCTCGAGGCACCAATTACTTCCGGCGCATGCTTAGTTATGGCTTCAGCCACGAGACAAGCCATGCGTACGTGAATATTGTGCGGCAAATAAAGACGACCCTCGTCATCAAAACCCCAGTTGAGATGGCCAATGATCAGGCGCGCCAATTGGTTTTCAGCTGTTTGGTAATCAAAGTGAAGTAGCCAGTTAGACAGTAGCTCAAAACTGTCCATGTTTGGGTGCCAGTTTTCCAAAGGCAGGGCTTTGAATAGATATGCTGTCTGATCGACCTCAGAAAAGCGCGTCTTCAGTTGCAGCAACACGCAATCCAGTAGCTCCTCATAAGCCAGAGTAATATTGACCAACATATCTCGTGCGGTTTTGTAGCAGAACTCGCGAGTGGTTTGATGAATAAAGCCAATCTGTGGGTGGGCGCGAGTGCGATGTAATAGAAGAAGGGGAACAGGGAATTTTGATAACCTACCTGGAAAATGGTCAAGCAAATGATGCGGATTATGGGCCAGTCTTTCGTGCGATCACGTGCATTGGCCATCTCGAAAAAGGCCTGCAACAGATAGTACATATCCTCGGCGGAAACATCTGCATTAGCTATATCGAATTTGCTCCAGAAATCCATCTGAAATATTGACTCCGGATCAGCCGACAGTTGGGTAGTCAAATCGCTGGGAAAGCCAACATTGAGATAGTAAAACAAATGCCAAATAATATCCGCATGAAGCGTAGTATAAGGCAATGTGGAGAAGTATTGCCAGGTGCCCAAATTGCGTGAGCGATATATGTAGCTGCATGCGCGTATAAGTAGAGCCTGTATTTCCAACTCGATGCGTTCACAGAGCTCTTCGGGCTTGGTCAGATTGTTGCTCCTGCAAATGGCAAATCAGTCATTAATGCTTAGGAATGTCAACTGTCAGGTCAACCTACAGGAAGAGCTCGTGGTAATCGGAAACATATTGCAGCGAGTGGCGAATCAGGCGTCCCAGACGCTTGGCCAGCTGCTTGTAGCGCTCGTTGTTATATGTCAGCATGCCCTCGCCCAGTGTCTCGACTAGTTGTGCAAAAAAGGCCACCACAGTGAGCATCTGCTGGGGCGTTATCATATCTGGTTCAATGATGTAGTCATCTAGGAACTTCTCGATGCACAAGGCAGAGCTGTTAAGCAAACGAGTCAGGTGATAATTAAGCTTTTCTATATATAAGTTAGGGTTGAGCATACGTGAAGAGCTTATCGAAAGGCAACTGATTGAGTAGGGCTATCAGATCGGTCTCCTTGAGGCCCACACATTCGCCCGTTGGTGTGAGTGTGTCCTCGCCATCCGAGTCCACCACTGTCCAACGCTCAACGTCACCAGTTAGTTGCGAGAGGTCCCGCTGCGCTTGTACCTGGCTCTTAAGATAATCGTTGCGCTTTTTGATGGGAAGCAAAAGTATTTGCAGCACCACGATGCAATGATTGATTTCTGGTGAATTTAGTGGCAGAGGGAGTTCATTGGGCTGTGTGCCCATAGGCTTTGGGCTTGCTTGAACCATGCCTGGTAGCTGCAGGAATTCTGCTGCCCAGGCGCCAACGCCGTTTGGGCAACGCAAGATATTAAAGAGCAAAAACCAATGATCCTCCTTGGTGGCCAGAAGCAATTGTAGGGCAATCAGCTTGCGTAGCCAAAGCTTAAGGTCAGCATCGAAATTCTGAATGGAAGTTAATAAAAATTGAATTTTAGTTCATGAAACATTCAAACTAGGTTCATATGGTAAATAAATACCGCATTTGGGCTGGGTCGCCGTGCAAAGTTAAAGAGGATGCAAATCCCACGTCTTAGTTGGGCTACACACTGCAGAGCAGTTGCATCCAATTGGTTGTGCAGCACGATTGATGCGTGTTCATTTATATGAGGATACGCAATCAAGTCATTGATAAGTTGATCGATCTTCACTTTAGTTAACTTCGCTGTTATCAGATTGGTGGTGTATGTATGACAGACCAGATCGTAGAGCACTGTCAATGCCGCTGTGGCAGATTCCAACTTAATGGGATCAACTTTGATGCGACTGCAAATGCAAACGGAATTAGTCAATGGATTGGTTGCCTGCTTTTCACTTACTCAAAGGTCACGCTTTCCCGGACAACGTTGCCGTCGCCGCAGCTGGCGCTAAACGTGCGCGTCACTGACTCCCGTGTCCAGACTAGCTGTTGCGTATCGAGACAATCCTTGCGCTTGTCCTTGATGTCGTGCAGATTGGATGAGAGCTTGCCTTGCAGCTCGTAATACTCCTGGAGTGCAACATGGAGCGGATCTGTTTCACTCGATTCGAGCAGTGTGTTCATTAAAAAATCTAATTCAAATTGCTTGACCAGCTCCAAATCGCTGCATTTATAGATTTGTCTAAGCTGCTCGCTGGTAAACGGTTTCAGACGGCTGCTAGCCAGCGCAAAGCCCGGTGACCGCGCCACTCGCTCCTTGTAAACAATCGGCGTTTTCTGCTCCTCGATGAGCGCATTGCTAATCCGTATCGGCTGCAGATTGGGGTATTGCACTATTGGAGCATTGATCACTGGTGCGATGGGTGCGCATGGTGCACTAGGCATTGGCCCCGGTTCTTCCTCTATTACTTGCGACGCTTGGGTATTAGTTGTCGTCGTTGGTATTGTCATCTCATGGGGCACTATATCACTTGATATGCAACAGTCGTGACTAATAATGTCTTCGGCTTTGCTGTGGCCGCTGCTGGCCAATGCAGCTACACGCTCGAATTCCTCCAGTAGCGACGCATTTTCTAGCTGTCTTTGTTCGTGGACTATACTTGTTGATAACTGACGAATATCTTCTTCCTCTTCTTCTTCATTCGTTTGTGTGTGATCGTGGATTGGCCTTTGCCTTTTAGCTTTCTGGAATTTATTCTTATAGATAGTTGCATTTAATTTAAATAGTATGATGTATACATACGGTTTTTTTTGGCTTTGCCAAAGTAGCCATTTTTAATAAAGAATTATATACGTATGTATTCGCTCAACTTGCTCTGACGAAGAACTTTTGCGTGTTTTGCATTTCGTTGCGCCTCTAACAATAAAACCCCCTACAACTATCTGATTGTTATTCTCAGTGGTGAGCACAAATTTTTTAGCTATGTTTTCAATTTAAAAACATTTGCATAATAATTTAGCTTTAGACACTGTTTGATACCGGTAAAGTTGACTTGCATTGCATATGATATCTAAACGTTGCAGTTTGTTTTGACTATTCTTAAAGTTGTAAGACCTTAAGTCAATGAAATTAGCTTTTATCGAGCTAAGAAAATTTTGCCAACACTGTTGCTTAGCAGCTGTTAGTGCAACAGTTATCGATAAACAGCTGATTTACAATATTTGATGGGCAGCACTGTTGATGGTTTGGCAGCACTCTTAGCATGCACAGTTTTGACGAAACATTTGACGAAATATTTAGCAAATCATTTGAAAACGTGATTTAACGGTTGCCATGTGCTAAAAACAAAGAAATCAAGGTATTTAAAAAATAATTTAAGAATGTCACAAATTGATATTTATTAATTTTCAATTGATTTTTATTAAAAAACTTTTTTTTTAATTTCTAATAACTATTGTTTTAGTTAAAAATTCTTTAAATTGCACTTGCTTACACATACATAAGTACATAGACATAAATTGTTTCTACATTACGCATCTATAGAATATCCCTCAATGATATTGCAGATGCGTAAATGTATACTCTTGTACAATGATCACAGCATCTTTATCGACATTCTGCACAGAAGGTGCATGAGTAATTCCCCTCATAAATTAGTCTACGCGATGGCTTAACTTATAAATTATAGACTATTTATACATAGACTACGTTTTCATTTATATATACATGTATATATATATTGTATTTCCGGAGGGTTTCAGTAAATCTCAAAACGTCGTCTTTGAGCCAAGCTGCCGATAGATACCCGTTTCACCCGAAGGAACTGTGTCCAGCTGTATTCTGCTCGCATCGCAGATGGAGTTGCTGCGTTCCTCATTGGAAGAAGAGTTGGTAAACACGACAGCTATGGGATTCGTCTTATCCTTTCCGTGTGACTCGCTGGCATCGAAGGCGTGATTGACCTTTTCCTCTTTGCAGTTCGTGGTCGCTGAGGAGTTGCTACTGCTGCGTCTATTTAGACCAGATTCCTCCTCGTGCTTAATATAGTAAGGCTTGGGCACATTTAGGCGTTCGTAGCAACGGAAAATGATCGGGTGCAGCAGCTTTGCATCGTATTCATCATCCGAGTGCTGGGTCAGGCAGCTGATGAGTGTGCCAATAAGTACCGTCAAGGCTGTACCGATCAAACTGTAGTACATAAAGCTGATCGAATAGAATGTCTCCAAAGCATTTCTGAAAACAAAATGAGGATAAGCCATCATATGTTTATAGATATATCTATATCTATCTATGTACCGCTCATGTGCAATTCGGGGCGTTGGATCTATGAAGGTCTGATTGTAGCCGTCGACTGGTGTGTGCTTCAGTAGCCAAGGCAGCTCATCTATTCCGTTGCTGGGCTTGCCAATGGACCGTGAAAAGGTTGAGTTAGAGCAGCCCTAGGAAATAGGAAAATATTAATTCAATTCTGGGTTTCTATTCAAGCGGTATAGGCCTTCTTACCTCCGTGGAAGTGGGCAGCATGGTGGAGGGTTTGTCTACGGTCATGCTACCACCAATTATCCATAGGACAAAGGCGCATGCAGTTATCATGCCAGCGGATGTGCCCTTCCAGTTAGCCACAGGCACCATCATAGCCAAGATAAAGCAACCAAGCAGAGGGCCCGACGTGGCCGAGAAGACTAATAGCGAGGACTCGATGACGCCAGAGAGCAGACCCACTCCGAAGGCAACGCACATGATAATCAGTCCACATATAACTGTGACTATCTTTATAATTCTCAATTGTTGCTTGTCGCTAAGTCCCTTGAATTTCGGGAGCTGTGATACGAAGTCCTCCCAGCAAACGGTGGCAAGAGAGTTGAGATTTGATACCATCATGCTAGAGATATGTATATATATAATATTAGCATATACGCACATACTATAGCTTATCAGCCACCTACCAGAGTGCACCGTTGAATAGGGTAGCCATAAAGATGCCCACAAAACCGGGTAGATAGCCCAGTTGATCCTCAACGAAAAAGGGCAAAATCTCATCGGGTTTCTTAATGTAGCCTTCGGCATAGGGATCGCAGCTGATGTATGTGGAATATATGACCATGCCAGAGAGCCAGGAGAGCGCAAAGAATATAAAAACAATGGGCACATTGCTCAGCATGACCCTAAAATAATGCATGATTTAAAACTTAATTCCGGTTTAATTATCGGTTTCGATAGGCACGTATATCAATAAGCTGCTAGCCTGGGTAATAAGAACTAAATTAGCTACGGTCACACTGTCTTTTGTGCTTTTGATGTGATGAAATGATCGGCTTCGATATCCGTGCCTATCGATAATCTTGCGTCAGTGGCTTAAAAAAAGAATACTAGCTAAGGTCACACTAATATATTTTATTTCTGTTATTTTAGTGTAATTGCGCGCAATAAGAGTTTTTTTTTTAATATTTACACTAACCTGCGCACCTCCTTTAGTGACTTTAGACTGACATAGCGCTGCATAAAATTTTGCTGACAACCAATTTGTGAAAGTGACATAAAAAGCTGTCCCAGCCAGGCGGAGGTGGTATCAACGCGCACGGTTAAGTCCCCGGTGAAGTTCCAGAAGCTTAAGCGGCCTACAGGATAAAAAAATCAAAAAAGAAGATATAACAGATATAAGAACAAGTACGTATTCCTTAAAGCAATTGCATGTCTTGCAAAATATTTATTTCTATGGCAACTTGCATTGCATAGAAAATATTTATATGTATGTACGCATTTAAGGTATATACATACATATGTATGTATATTTCTATGACTGGCCATGTGCTTCGATTCCCAACGCGCTTAGCAATTGTTGGACTGACAGAAAGCGATTCTAACTGAAGTGACAAACGCGCTGCCGTCACACATTTATTACAGTTGTCACGCATTCACATCCTAAGCTGGTGCTGCCGCTGCTTCTTCTGTTTTATATGCCGGTTTTATCATCATCATTTATGTGCATAATGAGCCGACGCAACGTAAAATGGATGCCATTTTAATAGTCATCATTCGTCAGCATAAATATGAAACCGCCACAGACACACTCACGCACATGCAATTTGACAGGAGACGCTAATAAGCTGCCATGATCAATCGGAGCTGGAGTATTCTAAGAGAAGAAGTGATTGCTTACCATTATCGCGGTTCAGCTGATAAACCTTTTTGGGGCCGCCGCTAGAGATTGTGCCCTGTATGCAGACCGCAATTGTTACCACCAATATGGTGATAGTCTGAATGACGTCAGCATTGATGGCTGCTTTGAGGCCACCCTAAAAATAAGATGAAAACAATCATGAGGGACATCACAGCTTAGCTAAGCTCTATCATCCACTTACCATAATGGTGAAGAATATGCAGATGGCCGACATGCCCAGTATGGAGGCCCAGTAGGGTATGCCAATGACCGCTGAGAGCGCCACGCTGGGCGTATATACGGTGATGCCCAGATTACAGATTTGCCTCACAATGTACGTGGCCGAGGCGAGACAGCGAACGGTGCGACTCTTGAATCTGAAATTGAGCAGCAAAATGGTTTTGTGTCAGGTGAGTACACGCTGCTGAACTGGTAGCTGGCTCGATTTACAGCGTTAATTAATCCACAGAAAGCAGCAAACAGCGAACTGGAACAGGAAGTGGAAGTGGATGAGGAATAGGAAGTGGCCCAATGCCTGGCCTCATTTATTTACTTTTATTAGCTGCGTTTATTAAAGTTTTAATGGGCTTGCCCTTTTTATGCGCGTCTGCTCATTTTTGTTGTTGTTCTTTTTTGTTTTTGCCTTATGATTTACTGCTCTGTAAAATAAGGGCGCTTACAATAAGTGGGCGTGGCAGTCGCTGCTGTTGCAGCTCAAGTTCCAGCAGTGCCGCAAATTTACGACACGGCCAAAAGAGGCTGAGTCTTTCGTCTAACGACAACACCAACAAAATTGGCGGGTTCGTAACTCGTTTTGATTGTTTTTATAGTTGTGTTGGCTTTTTATGATGCAGCTCCTTAGACGCTAAAGCCAAGACACATGGTTATAAAAATATATATGAGTGTATGTGTGTGTTAATTTGCTGTAAAATGCGCGACAAGGCGCCAAGTGACCGAAAACGTATCCTGTTTCGACCTCCTAATGATCGCTCAGTATGCGCGCGCCTGTGGCACGTGTAACGAACTTGTTGATGTCCCCATTACTACGGCGGCCCCACTGTACACATTTATGGCTGGCCCCATCGGACCAATTGACTGCCCGAACGGATTACAGCAGAAACGACTTTATTATTATTTAAAAAAACCGATATATTCTTGTAAAATATCTTACTCCAATTTATGGATTTACCATACTGGCAACGCAACCCTAAGAGACACGGATTCTAAGCAATGTCCTTAGTCGAAATTGCAAGTCCAAAGCATTGCTTGTTTAATCAATCAAAGCATGTATTGAAAATGCAGAAATGTGTTTGGACTTATCAAAATATAAGGCAATAAATTTTGAATGAAACTTATTTCTATATTAAAATATGAATTTCTGGAAAATGTACATTTTAATAGAAGTCTCGTTATGCATGAAGCTTAAGCTCAATTTTGTTTATCTGCAAAGCTTTAAAGTGCAACACTGTCCTACATGAAAGTAGTTCGAGTGCTGACTGGTGGCATATAAATTTTCAATTTTTGTATAATTTATTAACAGAGAAGTGAACAATTGTCGTAAATAACAAGATTGCTCCAGTGAGCAATGTCCAAAGAGGAAATACCTAGACCACAAGAGAGGATTAGCATATAGCTAGACATACACACGCACACTGATTGCTTTGCATATTGCTTGCCTATGCAATGCATCTTCTTCATTAAGTCTATGAATGTGTTATTGAATGAGTTCCAATCGTTATGAATATATCTGAGTAACTGGGTCAAGTCATAGCATTGTAGCTTTGAAAATGAAGGAAGCAAAGTATATGTGTAAACTTTTAGGGAATAAATATAAAATTATTTGGAATAAACTTGATCTGCTCGTTGTGTAGGGGAAATAAGAAATAGAGGCTTAAATTTCAATTTCAAAATCATTTATACATGGATGGACTAAATATACCAGGCAGTTGTTCCTTATCGACAATGTATTTGCTTTATGTGATCGAGCATATTTTATATATTTTAAGTATTAGGAATACTCAGAGTATAAAAATAGAAAATAAATTTCTATTGAATGTGTGCTAGCCTTTTCTCAATAATAATATTGCTATACATGTACGCCGGAGCTATTAATTTTACCATTATTTAATATTTGTCTATCATTTAAATACTTAAGAAGCCAATTCACTTCTTGCTAAGTGCTGTGCCCTTTGTATGTGTGTGTTGAGGCTTACGTAAGCACTTATGACATGCATTTCTAGCATATGGGTCTCAAATTGCACACATACACACACACACACTTGTAGTTGTAGCTGTGTCTGCGTGTGTGATTAAGCCAACTGCATAATCCAGCGTTCGTATGCGCGCTATTTGGCTTTATTGATGGCACATTAAATGATTAATAGCCACCTGTAAATACGCATTTAGTAGTAGTTCATGTTGTCATCGAGCTCTGGCTAATTTGCATGTTAAAGCTGTATCGAGCTGCACTGCCATAAGCCTGAATGATTGGGTAGCCAGTCGTTCGACTGCAAGTCTAAGAGCAATCAAGCGAGTCATTTAATTAATGCTTGAAAGGAAAAATTCATTTCTACATTTATTATACCCTGAACCCATAGAAAACGGGAAATCGGGGTATAGTGGTGTTTTTTTCAAATGTATGTAACGGGCAGAAGGAGACGTGGCAGGCCCCGTAGTCTATATATTTCTGATCTGGACGACGAGTTGAGTCGATTTAGCCATGTCCGTCGGTGTGGCTGTCTTTCTATCTCTCCGTTTGACCGCATTTATGAATGCGACGATCTTAGAACCTTTAAGTACTCGATGCTATAATTTTTGTTTGTATGCCAAATGATCGATAATTATTCCTGTTTTTAAGTTGTTGATTAAAAAGTTTATCGAACTTCCATTATTATATTATATTTCGCTAGCTAGAGTCTTCAAGTTTTTCATGTAGTTTCATGTATTTGTTACACAATTTTTGATTTTTGTTATATTTGGCACACCTATATCAAATTTCCCGTTAAAACGGTGTGATTTATATATAAATATATATGAAAAAAGAGTTCGAATTTGTACGAAATCGTCACATATTCCATAGAATACGTGGGTCAAATTTCATTGAAATCCGTTAGGTAACACAGTTATTAAATAAAATGTTTGGCCCGTTGGATAGGTCACGTGGCAAGCGTAATCATTTTTTCCGTACATGTGTCCACATCATTGTCTATTCGAAGAATTTGCGATTGAATTGTGTTTGAATTGTCAGCTGCTGCCTTGATATATACTTGAAATTAATCGTTCAAGCAGTAAAGTGGCGGTGTCGGGATGCAGGCTCAACTCCTGGTGAGGTTGGTTTTGTTCTTTTTTACAGACAGGCTATTTTACTGCTGAGGCGGGGAATATGTATATGCCTACACTTGGTTCTGCTTAAATGCATAACGGTCGGGGTTTAGGGCATCGCCTAGTCGGCCACCCTCTGCTTGTTTTATTTGCAGTGGAGGACATCAATCAATAAGCAAATATCAATCGACGCGTCCACATGCCCCACGTATTTGTTCGAGCATTGAGTGCGCTTAAGTGCATATTATGAGCCTTTGTTAACTCACAGCTCGGACGGTTTTAAGCGGCTTACTTGCTTGACAACATGTACAGCATGTCGTATGCGTTATATGTTAATTATGAAAACGCTGACCCAGTTAAAGAACGCAAAGAGCATGAGTGTGAGTGTGCGTGAAGTTAAGTTAAGCTGCGAAATGTAAATAGTATGCCCATTATCGTAAAGATATCCTGGCATAATGCAAGTAGCGCCGCGGCTTTATTGAAAGCCCATTAACCATGGCAATCGAGTGGGCTAATTTGCATGGCGTTCATAATGATGGAAGACGGCGCTCAGGCCAAACAAATTGCATGGGCGTGACAATTGAGAAGAAAGAGAAATCGAGCCACAGATAACGAGATTGACGCAGAGACAGATAAATAGATAGATAGAGAGAGAGAGAGAGAAAGAGAAAGATGGTAGCATGAGCTAGGCAAACATTTGTTTAGGCATTTGCACATGGCGCTCATCATGGCTGTCGAATGTATAACGGAAATTGATAAAGAAATGTTTATTGTAGCAAACATGAAAACACACACACACACCATATTGTAGGCATAGTAATGCTCATACTCTAGTTTTTGGTAGCGAGCAGGACATCTCTCATAGCTTCCTTGCGGTCAATTTTTGCCTGATATGTCAATTTGATATGATTTATGGGAATTATTGTTTCGGTCTCTGTCTCTCTCGCTCTTTGTTTTTTTTTGTGTTTAGCTTGTAGCAATTGTTTTTCATTTAGCCTGTTAACATCGTGTTCATCACAATAAGTGCTGTGCATCTATACCCCTCTTTCTCTCTCTGTCTCCCTTTCTATTTATTCGATTGCTTCTCTTTCCCCTAGTTGTGTGAGTGATGACCCGAGGCTGCCTGTCTGCCTGCCTGCCTTCATGTCCGTTGATTGAGCGCTGTTTGGCACAGTGGGACGCTTTTGTTCTATAGAATTTAATTGATTTGCCTGCCAGCTTATATCATTTGCCTTCCCTCTCCCTGTCGATTTGTCTCTCAGTCTCTCAGTCTCTCAAATGGCATTGAGGAAAGTCTATTTAAGGCCGCGAACGTCACTTAATAACTTTGAATTAAATGTAAGCGCCGCAAAGTATGCAATAATTGATGCCGCCCTGCCAGTGGCCAGGCTCTTGCACAATAATGCAACGCTCAACGAACAATGTCTGCTTTATCTGTCTTTCTCTCTCTCTCTCTCTCTCTCTGTCTCTCATACACTTATTGAATGCAGTTGTAGTCGCTGCGCTGATGAGGCTCTTTGTTAGTGTTAGTATTGTGCTGCATTGCCTATGTGAACCGCTTAAGCCTCGAGTGGCCAGAAGAGCCTGACGCTTTTACAATTCGCTTAAGCCCCGGCGCATCATTTATCATTGCGGGCGGCGGTTGAGTTCGTTCGGTCAGCATGGACAGCAGCATAAATTAGGGCAACAAAATTTAATATGGTCAGCTGGGATGAGCGGCGAGCGGCAAGTGGAGTATAATGCGTGCCTAATCGCGGCTTTGGGTGACTGTGGATTGCGCCTGGACCGCTGCGTCGAGCTAATTTTATAATCAAAAGCGAATCAGTTGGCAACTGGGGAGTTGACTCTTTGATTGGATTAAATGCGCCGCATAAATAAACATAATCAGGCGTGTGCTCTGAGTGCTTCGACTAAAAGGCGACATCCCGCGTTACCTGCTACAACTTTGTTGTCTTTGAATTGCAAATCATGTCGCCACTTAGTCGCTGACATCGCACCGAAAATGTCTTTATTTATGCGTGCATGTTGGCCCTCAGTTCTGTATTTTTACTTTTTTTACAAGTGCCAGTCGAAGCTGCCTTTTGATGTTTGACGTGTGCCCGGGCACTCTGGCCGGGCCCTTGTACATCGTAAATATTCAAGCTGAATTCAAATGCACTCACAAGCGAGCGCACTGCGGTGGCTGTGTCCCCATCTAAGTGCTAACAAGTGTCATATTGAACCACGGCCAAAACAAGACTCAAATCAATTTATTTACTTGTCAGACTCGCCCACTGCTCTCTGTGTGGGTGTGTGTCGTAATTGTCTTGCATTCAATTGAAGCTCCATTTCCACAATTTTGGCAGTTGTAAGCGCGGTCGAGTCAAGAACTTGGCTGTCTTTAAGGGCGACGTGGGACTTGACCATTGAACTCGAGGCGAGGGCGCAATGGCAAAAACGAAAACAAAAGTCGGCTACAAATCTCGGCCAACAAATACTCGTAAGACTCGAACTCAAGACAAGAGGCAGAGGCCATGTGCTGAGTGGCAGATGTCACTTGCGACGGACTGCTGACAAGTCTGTAACGGCGGCGAGTGTGTGGGTGTGTGGGCGTGAGTGTGTGTGTGTGTGCTGCAAAGATTCTACCCAGCAGGAAATGTGATCATTTAATAAACCAAATAGAATTTCAGCCAGACGCAAGTCTTTTACTCAGCTCAGGTATGAAATCTCGCAGTTGAATATGTATTAAAAGGGCTTTAATAAGAATTATTTTTATTTCGTCAGGAAACAGCACCGTGTTTAAAAGAGCCATGGGAAAGCTATACATTTTCCTTCTATGTGAATCTAAATAATGCATGAAAATGTAATCAACGCAGACCTGACGCACTCACACGCTAAAGTTTCCTGCCGGGTTGTTTTTTGTTTTTGCAAGTTTTTTGGCTTTCGACTGACAGACTGACGGGTTGACTGGCTGACTGGGTGACTGTCAAAGCTGAATGGGATGCTGGCTGGCTGGCTGGTTGGCTTTCAGGCCTGACGGCAACAACACACGCTATTTATAAACATTATGACACAAACGAATTGTCATACAATTTGTCAACAGCGAGCACAAGTGTGCCAGCATCGTCTGGGCCTCTTTGAGGGCGCTTTGTTTTCTTTTCTCTTTTTTTTTTTTGTATTTTTGTATTATGAATTCAGTTTGCTTCTCGTTTATTATACCCTAAGCGCTTGAAGGCTTAATCTTTGACTTGATATTTCTAATCCGTATGTCTAACAAGTTTTGTTTCGCATCAGGAACTTGCAGGAGCTTTCCGTATCTTTATTTAATTAATTTTACAGATTGAACTAGAATTTATTTTGATTTGGTGGTTTATCACTGTTTGATAGGGTATTCATGACATCATCATTTTTTGGACTTGAACCGTGTTTTCTCTTTAATTTGCATTATCATAGTAAGTCGTCAATGTCATTGTCTCTACTCGGTTCACATGCTTGTCATTGTCGCTGCCTAGCACGCTTTATAGCTTCCTTGAGGGCTTATTCACTTATAGGTCGAAGCGACTTTGTTCCCTCTTTTTTCTTGCCAATTTTGATGGAGTTGTATGCATAAACATGTCGCGTAGCGCCAGTTGGGCTGACAAGCGACAATGAGCCTTCAAATTTGTAACAACTTTTTGTTGCCCCGGCAACATCTTGTCTATCACTCGCAAGTCGCAACTGGAAACTGGCAACTGGCAAGTCCCAAACAGCCCATACACAGCCCTTTTGGGTTTGTCTTGAATGTCATTTGGCTGTCATCAAACTAAATCGCACATGAAATTTACCATGTGTCTCGCATGTGTACATGGAGAATGAGACTAATCGTAGTCAACCAGAATGCCACTAACCAAGATTGATGGCCCCACTGGTTGAAGGCAGCAACTTGCACTATTTCTGTCATATATAATTAGCTGAAGCACAGTAAGTTTGCTTTATGATTGTATTTGAAAGTAGATGTTTGCAAAGTCTGGAAATAATATTCAAAAATCTCTTTCTAATAATTTGCTTCCTCCAAATCGGCTGCTTATATGTGGTACATGTGTTTATAGTTCGGTAAAATATAATTTTTATATTGAAAGTTGAATTAGAAAATTATTTAAAATATATTTACAAATTTGCAAAACATTTCCCCACTTAAGCTCACAGTTAATATAAACAAAAGCATATAAAACTTTTTTTTTCTTTTTAAACTAATTTCAAATAGCTAGAAAAGTCACAGTCCTTTAATATCTGTCTTTAATGTCTGTCTTCATATATGCAAATTCTAGATAATCACAGTTCGAATTGATAAGGTTTTTAAAAATATGTTAAAATTTGCTCATCAGCTGGCATTGATTGAAGGTCGATTAAATTCTAGATTTCATTATCTTCCCATGCATAAATAGCTAATTAATAACTTGTGTCTAATATCTGGCATTAGTTGCTGAGCTACATTCGAGTCTCATTCTCATTCTGATATCAATCATTGGCAGCTTGCGCTACATTTAAATAATTTCTCAATTTCTTACAGATTTCGTCTCTTTTGCCAATTAAATTTAAATCAAATTATGCTGCTGTTGTGTTTTCAGTGCCCCAGCTGGCTGCTTGAGCTTCGCCTGGAGCTGAGTGCGTAGCGTTTGTCAGTTTTGGCAATTAATTGAATTTTGTTGTCGAAGCTGCAAACATTTGATAACAAATTAGTTTACTAATTTCAATCTTAAAAAACAATTAGGCTGCTGGAGCGATAAGGCGAACGGACGTAGCGGCGACAACTTGTGACAGTTACGCCTAGTTGGAAGTTGGATGGGGGCGAGTTAGAGTCCTGGCACGGCAAGGACAAATATATAGATTATTTGGCTCGCCTTTGTTTGCACTCTGCTGCCCGGCCATTTGTTCTTGTTGTTCATTTTGTCATTATTGTTTTTTTTTTTCGTTTTGAAAATGTTATTCATATTTATTTAGCTGAGCAACAGCCTGTTCTCGCCTTCATGCTCGTTCCCAGGCATGCTGTTCTGTTTAGTCTCATTTTTTGGTCGTTCATTAATGAAGTATAAAATCATTTGCAGAGGGACAAACCTGCTGTGGGGCATGGGCGCATTTATGAAATTAAATTGAATGTTAAAATAACAATTTTCATGTTCTCGCTGTGTGCTAATTAAATGCTGTCGTCATTCTTATTAGTTATTTTGTTATTGTTTTTCTTTGAGGGGTGGCACTCACCTTAGATCGATGTACTGATAGACAGATGTGATGCCGAGGTTAAAGTAGACGGGCACAAACATGAAGCAGACAATGGGATAGGCACTCATCATGCCGTATATTATCTCCCACATGGCCGAGCCGCGATAGTAGAGTTCACTGGGGTAGCCTGGTAGATGGAAAAGGGCTCTTTAATAGGTACAGCTCAAGGTCGAGCTGTGCTCTCAACTTACCTAGCACCGATCGTACGCCGAGTGTGCCACGCGCTATGGATATCATAACAGCCACTAGGGATACGCCGCCTGTGGCAAACACATAATCCGCCTTGCTGCGCTGCTTGCTTTTGCCGAAAATGCGCGTCCAGAGTGGTCCCAAGACGGTGAGCGCTATAAATGCCGCAAACATGAAGTAATCCCAGCCCAGTGTGCTCAAATCCTTGGCCATGTTGCTGCTGCTGCAGAGATACAAATACAAAACCATAATGCAAAAATCAAATACCAAGTTGGTCAAAATAACTTTTCAGCGCCAGCGAAGGGACAGGAGCAGTGGCTTTGTGTCGTGTATGTGCGGGTTGTTGTCAAAACGTTTTCTAGCATAGTTGAACATGTGCATATTAGTCACGGTCGGTGCACATAATGCCAACACCGTCAACGTTGAAACTTTGGCCACATTGTTGCATATCCGCAGGCGCGTGGGTCGCGTGGGTCGCGTGGCCGCGTCTGCGGTTGCTCGTCCTCGCCCGTCACAAGCTCATGCAACAAGCCAACTCTTCACCCAAAAAAAAGGAACAAACTCTGGGTGTGTGTGTGTGTGTGTGCTGGCGCCAGAGCAAATGAGTTAAAACAAAGCAAAATGTTGTGAGCTACAAAATTTATGGACTGTGTCCTTTTGCTTGCACTGTTCGCATTTGTATTCACCATGGCAGCCAGACACTGGTGCCGCACTGTCTTCCCACACCTACACGCGTGTCTCTGTATGTGTATATAGGTATGGTCTTAGCAGCGACAAGTTGGAGGTAGCCGGGCTTATATGCGATTTGCTTTGCAACTTTGTATTTTTGCACATGTACTCGAAACAAGCCAAAGCTAAAGCCCAAGCCAACTGTTGATCCGCTTGAGCAGAGCAGCCCAAATTTTATGGTCCTGCAATTGCTTAGCTCTAAATACGGTTTACAGCTTTGCAGAGGATATTCAAGCTATATCGCAGTATGTAGAATAGATGTATTCAGAGTAGATGTTCTCTTTGATATTCATATAGAGCAGTCTAATACTTGTTATCCTTTGCACGGCTACTAAATCTTACACTGCTATTTGTAGTTCGTGTAAACATTTTATTGGTAACTGAAACTACTCTGTTTGTGCTTACTTATTGCACGATATATCTGCCGAAATGTGCATTTGTAAAATATGATTTTAATATATTTTCTATAGCTAAAATATAATTAGTTTTCTATAATTGGAAATATTACTGTAAGCTACAGTAGTTTGTTTTTTTGTTTACTTTAATTTATGACATGCCTTTAGGATTAAATATGAAAAGATATTTATTTTTTATATATAGAATATTGTTATAAATAATATTTTGGCTGCTCAGACTTAAGTGAAACTAAAGCTTAAGAGAAAACTTTGTGCCTATTCCATTGAAGCTATTCAATTTGTTCCCAGAATATGTAATATTTTCATATATATACATATATTGGCATACATATGGAAGTGCTGCTAGTTCAAATTTTACATACTTTGAGAACAAACTGAGTCTATAATAGCTTCAACAAGATTGAAATTAAGTATAAGTTCAAACGGACGAACCTACGTATGCTTCTAAAGTGAATAAATTCGTGTAAGGAACGAGGTTTGGCAGCGAGAGAGTCACGTCGACCGAGTGTTTGAGCCACACTCACGTCGGGGAAAATAAAACCGAATGTGAGACTAGCAGAGAGGCGGTGTGAGAGACCAGAGAAGAGACAGCAGAAAACTGCGACTCATTGCGTTCTGAGTAATAGAAAGTAAAATGGAATCTAAAATGCCAATTGGGAATGAATCAGAATCAGCTCCATTCCCCACAAATACATATTACATATCAACTGTTGAATTGTTTTTCGAGTCCATTATTATCAGTTTGTATTTGGTTTTTTGCGGGAATTTACATTTGGTTTCATTTGATATTGATATCAGAGATCAAGTTTGTAAATTGAACTTTTGCACCAAGGGCTGGCACGCCATATGGGAATTAATGAATCAAAATTGAAATTCATTGCCGTGTAGTAAATCTATTGATGCTAGTTACAATTACATTTTTAAATGGAAATTGTTATTTAATAGTATTATCATAAATTATTCATACGCCCCATTAAACGAGCATCTGGACACAAATTGTAAATTTCATTTATTACCGACTCATTCGATCATTATTATTATCATCAGCAACATTTTGATGTCCAACTAATTGGCAGCACGTAACCAGCCAGTTGTGTGTGCGCGTGTGTGTGTGTGTGTGTGTGCTTGTGTCATTTTCTGTCCCTTAAGCTTTTATCTGACACTCTGTCTGGCTTTTGTTTTGCCTTTCTGTACAAACTATTAGTCATGTTTTTTCAAGCTTGTTTTTGTTCTTTGTGCTGATTTTTTTGGTTTTTGTTTTTTTGATAATGGAAACTCACATTTAAACTGCACAGCTGCCCAGAACTGACAGCTGTCCAGTTGGACTGGCTGGGCAGTCAGCTTTTTCTTTGGCCATGTGATAAGCAGAAGCCAACAGGGGCAAACCCACGGCCAAAGGTCGTCCATTGTTTGGCTGAACTTGAGCGCAAAATGTTATTTTCTGCTTGCTGAGCTTAAGCAAATTATCCATATTGCGAGCGCTTTGTCTACTACCTGCTGCTGATGCTGTTCCCGGATTCATCATTCAATTCCGTTTAGCCAACGTTTTGGGGGCGTATTCGACTGTTGCGAGCAGCAGCTGACACTGAAAGGCGACGTGTCCTCAGCACCGTCACACTTCCAATAGAGAGCGACGACAATTTGCGCACATTTTCATCAAGTATGTAAAACGCTGCCAAAACTAAGCCACACGTATGCATAAGTAAGCAGGAAGCCCTATTTTAGATAGCGTGGTGTTTGACATTTCAAAGTTTCATATGACATATAATAAAAGCGGGGCTCAAGTGGTTTCCGCGAGGGAGCTGAGCATGGCGGGGGAGCTGGTACGTAGACTGCAGCCGGAAAATCTTGGGCGCCCACATCAGCGTCGAGGCGCCCGTTTTAGTCCCGCTGCCCCGAGAAACACTTGCAGTTAATATTCATGCACTTTTGGCGCAGCTTGAAAAATTATACGAACGCTGGCGACATGTGTGTGCTGAGATGACGAAGGAGTCGTCGATGCCAAGGATCATAAATTATAAAGCAGCTTGTAGCAGCAGTTCCGACAGCATCAGCAGCAGCAACAACAGCAGCAAACAGCGCCAAACCTCTGAGAGTCGTTGACATGTCGTAAGTCTTGGCAGGCCATTGTGTGTGCCTGAACCTGACAGCCACAATGGAAAGTTATTAAAAAAAACCGACGAAAGAACTCCAAGCATAAGAAGGAGACTGAGACTGAGCGAGAGTTAGTGAGAGGAAGTCGGTGAGTTCATCGCATAAACAAAAAATGTATGCTCCTCATGAAATATTCAACATGCGTGATACAAGATCCAAAAATCTGCCAGATAATGCGCCAAAAACTCGAGTCCAATGAAAATATCAAAAACACATTTGCAGAGACGCTACTTAATTTGCCATTGATGGCGCTCTCAGCCACGCCTCGCGCCTGCCTCTGTCTATTTTTATATTTAAATTTTATTATACTCGTATTCTTCGCTTCCGTCTCCGTCTTCGTCTCGGGCTCGAGTCTATTCTTTGCCATTTTGGCCATTTGCCTGGACTGGCTGTTTCCGCCTCTGAGTCGGCCACTGACAAATTGAAAATGTAATTTAGTCAAAGTGCAACATTGCGTTGCATACTTTTGCGCGCTGCAGCCACGCCCACAGCCCACCCTGCAACGCCTCAACTGTTGGCTAGCGTCCAAGCAGGCCAGGCCAGGCCAAAGGACAGCAGCAGTTCCCGACTCAATATGGCTTAAAGTGCCCGCCATGACGCAAAACGTATGAAAAACTATGGTCTCTATTTTTTTTACCTTTCACCTACGCACACACACACACACACAGCAAAGAGCAAGAGCTGCATGTTTAATGCATGATTTTGCATTTTTTATTTTCTACCGTGCCAAGGCACAAAAGGTGTGACCCGTTGGACATCACAGTTTGGTCAGCAGTCGCCAACAACTTGATCAAAGTTAATACCCTGTATTATCCATAAGAAAAAATAGAATTTACTATTCATGAGCTACGTCTTCAACACTTCTGACTACTCTATTATATATATTGTTCTATAGATTGACTGGTTATGCAGAAAAGGCTTCTTAGCTTGGCATATCATATGCCTTCTATGTATGAGCTAGATATATTTTTCAAATATATATTAATATATTATAAAAATCTTGATATGTGAGCAACTTTCGTATTTTATCAATCAATCGCTCAATTGAATTTATTGACTACTCAGAGCATATCTGCTAGTCGACTACACTGCACGGCATGGCTCACTTATTTGTTATGACTTAAGCCGAGTCATTATGGTAATTGTCTTGTTAGCTTAAGATGGGGTGTGTCCCAATCGATGGCAAATTGATGTCAGGTCTTGGAAATTAAATGCACAAAAGCAAAGATTGGGCGGTTGTCAGGTAACTTCATTTTGATGCCTTGAACTCATTCAGAATGGCTAAAAGCGTAAATTGGTTTTATGTAAATTCATTTAACAGACAGCAGAAGGTATCTATATGTGTGCGACATTGCTTATGCTTAACTGCTTACAGAATTCACTTGAAGTTGAAGATTTTCTCGCTTTTGCTAGAGATCATGAATAACACCCTAGCAAATTATGTAGTTCCCAAACAGTTTGAAGTCAAAATAATAAAAGTAAACTGAAATTCAAGTAAAATTAATCGAGTTTAATCACTTTTTAAACGTACACGATTATAGCAGATTATTATTCAGTTTTTATTTTAAATTTAATGGAGTGGAAGCCATGAAAGAAGAAGCAGTTAAAGAAGCTTAAATTAAGTTTCAAGCGCTGGCAATGAAGGGTAAATAGGAAATTCAGAAATTCCTGAACTAAAGCGCTTTCAGGGCTTATGTACACTAGTGATGCTATAAAGTAAACTTAAGGAACTTGGAAATATTATGAGAAGCCCAAACTAGATTTATGGGGCACTTGCAGCGCTGTGGCAGCAACAGCTACCCCTTTTCGTAGTCAACAATGTTGCCAGCTCTGGCAATGTATGCATTTCATTACAATGCATAAAACTTTTGACGCTCGCTGCATTTGCAAGTGCGTTCGGCTAATTAAAGTACCCGGCTAATTG